TGGAGATATGAATTATAGATATTAATATTTCGTGGAAGTGCGCCAGTTTGTCGGGCGTTTAGTTGCTCTTTTACTTTTCCGTTGTGAAGCTTTGGAGCAGTAACAATAATGGCAACAACAATTGTAGCTGCAGTCTGTTGTTTCGGCTTAGACTTTAATGTTGGCGAGGAGCGTTTTGTTTATTTTTTCGAAGTTTAAGTGCCACCATTCGATTTTGTTGTTTATTATTTACGTGATTTCTTTTCGTTTTATTTTTTTTACTTTCTTTCTTAGTTTTCTTTCTTGACAGGCGACAAAAGTATTTACTTTTTTAGGTATTGTATTCCTATTTGATTAGTTGAAATCTTATTTCTCATCTGTAAAAACAATTATTTTATAGTTTCTGTCCAGTCAGTTGTACTTGTAGTTTTACTATATCTTAATTATGGGTATATAATTTCAAATTCAAATTCAAGAAAATCATTCACTCAATTGAAGTATAAAGTACATTTATTCATATATGTAGTTGATTTATTTAGAAAAATATAGTACATTTTTCGAAATCAAATACAGGCAAAGGTGTCAACATAACATTAAAAGTTTTAATAGTTCAAAAAGCAAAATAAAATTTTTGAATCGTACAGATAAAGATTGCTATGATTTTATCAATTCCCTTTATTTTGCTCTAAAAGAAGTTGAGGTATTGAGAGTGCTCTGGAAAGTTTACCCCTTCTCAAAAAAAAAAAATATATGTAAAATTCTATCAACCTGATGGGCGAAAAATATTATTTTAGTGAAATTACAATTGTAAATTTTACCAAATTTTTTTCCTGGGAAATCGGTTTCTAAGATCCCTACAAAGATTTCTTGTTCTGCAACACGACCCTATTGAAATTTTGTGTTAAGGAGCAACTAATTGCGTTACGCCTCTATAAATCAAAACTCAGCCCTGAAAATATATATCGAAGCAAACTGTAGTAAATTCCGCTATATTAAGCTATTCTAGTTTTTATTAAAGCTTAGCTCTAACAAGAGAATTTCAAGCTTCACCTCTATGTCATAATTAGTATTTCAATAACTGAAAGCCCGAAAATATTGGAAAAAAGAGGTATTTGCATTGAAACCGATTACGAAACTCGACCAAAGAATGGATGGTAGCCACTTTGGTCACTAACTTTCCACAGTAGCAATATTAATTAGTAATTTTTACTTTACAAGCTATCGCCCAACTTGATTGACAATTGAAGTCTATTCTTGAAGTTTCTTCCATAATCAATTGCACCAAATATATTCGAAAACTAACTCTAACTAACTAACAGTTATCGATTTTTACTGTTCTGTATGTATCTAGGAAAAGCTTAGCACTACGAAACGTACTGTTTGATAGTTAAAGATATACAGATGTACATATGTACATATACGAGTATATATAATACATAATGGTGAGAGAAAAGAAACCGGTTGATTTCGCGTATTTATCGTGCCGTTTACCATTATTCGTTATTATTTCACCAATCAAAAAATACTTTTCTGAGTCAAATTGGGATAAGATTGTTAACAACACCGTTATATGATAAAATTTTGGAAGTATGGCTGCAATATATAATATGATCTCTTTCAACTTAAGTGAATTTGAGTATGCAATAATAACTCTTTTCGTGTTCGAAATTAATCAAAAACGAGAAAGTAGTATATTAGAGTAGAAAAAATATTATTGTTAACACAAAATCAAACTTATGTGAAGTTCATAAATTCACGAAGTGAAGAAAAATCATAACCACCAAACCTAAAATATTATTTAATTGCAAGCTACTTGTAGAAATATATATACATATGTACAATAAATACATGCATATGGGTAACTTTGTATTAACAAGTATAATTGACCCAAATCCCAACTCTACAAGTAGAACGCATCTAAGCCAGTTTGACGGCATTGCAACAGCTTTACCGTAAGCTAATACATAAGTAGTTTGTATGTTCATATATAAATAAGTATATACATATATATTAGGGTGGGCAAAAAAACGCTATTGGTTTTCGCTTGGTAATCTAAATATAAGGTTCTTAGACACCTCTAAGAAAAATCTCTCCAAGTATGAGCTCTAAATTGTAAGGAGAAGGTTTTCCGCCTTGCAGTTTTCTTATTTTTCGTAATATCATTATTATCATATAGAAAAAATCAAATCTCGCTTTCAGCTACTTGAAAAAATATCTCTATGCATTGATTTTGTAGAAAATTTAATGCTCTACAAAAATGTTCCCCTTATACTATTCTCGATTAAGTTAAGCGTTTACGAGATCAAGGTTCAATGAATATAAAAACGAAACGAGATATTTTTTCAAGTAGTTGAAAGCGAGATTATTCTATATGATGTTAAGAAGAAAAAGAAAACTGCAAGGCGGAGGACTCTCCCCTTACAATTTAGAGCTCATACTTGGAGAGATTTTTCTTAGAGGTGTCTAAGAACATATTATTTAGATTACCAAGCGAAAAAAGCATATACTTTTTTTTTGATCCACCCTAATATATTTATATAGATATGTATGCATATATGTCTGTATTCGTATATGTTATATGTATGTCGTTGCCACTATTTTGGTCTACAGTGGTAAGCTAACGACTCAAGTTGCTTCGTAGACTGCTACTGCTGGCCATGGTTGTGGCAGATATGAGTGTCAAGTGGTTAGTGGAAAACCGAGATTTTCGACAACAAAAAAAAACGAAAAATTATTGTAAGCAGAAAAAGAAATAAATGTGTATACTCATATATAAAAGTGTATATACTCATATATAATACCAGCAGTAAGCCATAACAAATAAGTCATCAAATATGCAACGAAGCGCATACTTGTGGCAATTTGAGACGACTGAGCTACAATTTCAATTTGACTTCTTATCTGCCACGAAAAGAAATGAAAATATTTGTTTAATTCGCTTTTCTTCATACTTTTGTAAGTTTTCCTGGCTTTGTTATGCTTCCTACAATCACTTTATAACTGATAATTCAGCAAATAATATTGTTGCATGCATCACAAGTGCAAGTTAAAATACTTTGAGCCGCCAACTTTTTCCATTTCTTTTGCTTCAACTCCGTGCATGCTTCTTCTTTTCTTCAGCATTGAACTTAAGCTGAAACTTTCCAAAGCATTGAGGTGTGAATGCGCTGAGTTTCCACCCGCCCACCGCCTCTTCCGGCTGTTGGTGTTGGCATCATACAGTTTCATTAACATTTTTTCACACCTACGTTTCTTGCTTCCTTTCACTCCAAATCTTTCACATTTCTACAGCCAAGCGCTTGCAAAAATCAAACAGTTGTTTATTTATTTAATTTTGAAAGAAATGTTGTTGTTTTTTCTTTTTCGTACCTATTCCAGTTTCAGCACTCAGCATTCATGATTAATGAATTTATGTGGCATTGTTAATTGTTCTTTGTAAGTCTGTGAACAAAAATTACATACAGGTGTAGTTTTAAGAAACAGGATTAATACTTTTATGGATTTATTGTATATTAAAGATTTTCTCATCAGAAAGAGTTGCATAGGAAAAAATCTGGAATACCTGAGAATACTTCTAACATTTATTTGCGATGTTCAAAAAAGTCCTGGTATATATCAATTTATAAAAACTCTTCTGTTTTCCAAAAAAGCCGTGTGGTTGATACAATATTTGGCGTCTTTTTATGTTCCAATGTTTCAATTCCGAAGCCTAATGTGGAAAAATGAATAGAGATTATTGGAATACCTTCTACAAAATTAATCTCACAGACTGTCATTCTTCTGATCTCCAAAAATGCCGATAACATTTGGAGTGTTGTTATGTGCTAAAAAGAAGAAGAGAAAACTCCCCTTAGGTATCGACAAAGCATCTTGAACCTATCAATAGATCTCATTTGATTTTATTTATATCCCCAATAGCTCACCGTGATAGCTAAAGGTATGAAGATGGAGTGGTGATAGGTTTTTACCAAACATTCTTCTAAACAAATGATATCCTTTAAATCTTGCCTCGTAGATTCAGATTGAACAATGACCAGATAAACTTTCCACAACAAGGGAAAGCAAAACGTTAGCGAGCACGAAAGTTTCCTGCGATCTACCTTACAAGAACATTAAATCAAAATATCTTACGGCTCTATCAAACCACCCCCGTTCCATTGTACGCTCACGCAAATCTTTCTATTTATGGTCACTCAGACAGAGTGAATTCGCATACGTGGGTGAGCATGTTCAATCAGCATTTGCTCATTTAGACTTATTTGGCAGCGAAAATCTATGTTAGCTAATTTCGTTTGTTATAATCATATTTCCGGATTAGTAGTGTGTTAAAAATTCGTGTGGACTTCTAACACAGCCGCCGTTGGCTGATTAATTTCATTCAGAGCTGGTTACATTTACCCACAAGAGTTGATGAACTCTACCAAATACCAAATTTTGTGAGAAGCTTTGATGATTTGTGTCAGAAACGATGATACAAAGAAGAATTATGCTTAAATACATAAATTAAGTAAAATGAATAAAAAAATGTATCAAGCTCTTAAACTATTTTAATTAGAAAACTGCGGAAAAATATTTACTCCATTATTGTTAGACAATCCAACCAAATCTTATCATATGTTTTTTTTTTTATTTATTATTTATTAATTTAATTTAATTTTTAAGCAGTAATTTAAGTAGTCACAAATTGCCAAAACTAAAACCTTAGTAAATACAAAAACAAACCACAAAGGTCAGTGTATATCGAAAAGGTAATCTTTCGAAAAATCAGTATCGTCATATAATCTAAAAACAGTATTCTACAAAGGTTTTTTTATTATTTCTCCAAATGTATTTTATACCATTTTATATTGATTTAAATTATGTGTTTGTCTTTTTTAAAGAAATTGCGTTTAAAGAACATTTAGTGCTAAATTAATTAAAGTTAATACTAAGTCAATCAATTATAGTTATAAAACTTCTGAAACTTAGAAAATCAAACAAATTTTTATAATTTAATAAATTATTTTTATTTTTATTTCCAGACTATGGCCAGAGAGTTTCTACAATCTTAAACACCGCCTCCTCTTGCTTTACGTGCATAAAATCACAAACGATTAACCGGATTCGATCTTCACCACAATATGTCCTCATCGATATGTCCACACTTTACGCAGAACGCGTGGAAGAAAGATCTCTGTTCCAATTGCTTCAAATCTAAAGACGAACACAAGGCCGGCAACTCCACTTACAAATACACCAGCGCCATGGATAGATCGAAATTCACCACGAATTTAATGTCTAAACTCGATTTGGATAATAAAAAGACTGATTACCCTAACAAGTATAAATCACCTGCAAAAAGCATTATGAAAAAGTCCTTTGCTTCGCTCAAAACAAAAACAAGCAAAGGCAAAACGCATAAGGTGACCTTTCCGAAGAACATCTCCGAGGTTATTGGTGTTGGCGGTGAATGGTCCGACAACGACTCGGATGACGATGATGATCACGATTTCATGAATATTGGCAATGAACGCGACGATAATGCCGCCACCAGCACCGACGACGAGGAAACACTCGAGCTGAAGCGCATCACGCGTGCCAATACCGACTTCAACATGAACAATGGCAATTTGTTAGGCGATCCCCAAGAGAATATTAAGCGTTCATTTGCCGCGCTGAAACTCGGCGCACCACAAGTCGATAAGGAGGGTAAAAAGCAAACGCTCAAAATAAATGTTACACCATTTGGAGCTACAGGGTCCACTGACAGTACCAAAACAGCAACATCGTCGATAACTGCCACAACAGCTAAGGCTAAGTTTGAGACAAAAGTGAGTGAACCGAGTGAGCCGACAATGGTGACCAAACAGTGTGCAACCGTTGTTAAGTCAATAAAGAAGACAACAACGGCAGCACCGCCAGCGACAGCCATAGAGAATGCAACGAAGATAACAACAACAACGTCGACGAAAACCACAACATCTTACATGACAGCCAGTGCAAGCAGTTTGTTGAGCTCGGCGCAAGCTAAGCAAGAAGCTTTGGCGGCGAGCGATAGCGATGGCAAAAATAGTCCACCCATCGAACGCGCCATGGAGAAATCGCTGTTGGACGAGATTTCCGAAACATTGGAAAAGAAACAGAGCGAAAGCAAAAAACTGGCCAGCGAAAAGGAGGTGTCCATCAACTCAACTACAAACGGCGGTAGTTCAAGCGCGGTCAGCGCCACGAATGGCACACTCTTAGCCACAACGGCTTCCACAGCCGCGCCGTCAAAGATCAAATTCGAGATTAGCAGCCTGAGCGACGCGGTGGAGAATAAGCCATTTCTTGACCTTAAGAAGCCGATCGCACGCAATCCACCTATTACAAAGGATCATGCCAAACCCAAAATAAATGTCTTCCATAAATACTCGGACAGCGACAGCAACTGTTCGGACAACGAGAATGGCATCTCGGCATACTATGATGTTGTCGAAACACAAATAAGCTACGAGAATCTGCCAGACGGCAAATGTGATGCGCAAGATAAGCCAAATGCGGTCAATATCGGAACAGCCACAACCGCAGCTACAGCGGAGAATAAGTGCAGCAAGAATGCAAGCAGTAAGAACGATACTTCCATCTTCTCTAGTTCGCAATACATCACGGACATGTTGTTGTCGTCGAAGACACGCGCTGCCTCATACAATCTGCACGAAGGCAACTTTATGACCAGCAAAATAACATCCGACGGGCTGATTGTAACCAAGTGCAGCTCTGACGATGCACTCGACTCGACCGGCAGCAGTTTCGATGGCAGCAGTGATGAGGAAACCTCATACAATATGATACGCAGCGAATCGGACTCTGGCATCGGCATCAGCATTGGCAATGAATACAAGAATTGTGGCGTTGAAAAGGAACGCGTGCGTGTCGAGAAGAAGCTAAGTGTGAGTACCAACAACTCAGACTACGAGGATATCCAAGTGGCGAATCAAACCAACACAACAAACACGGGCAAAGCCACAACAAAGGTGACAACAACAGCAACTCCAGCAACCACAGCGAAGTCAGCTTTCATATTGGAGAAGAGCAGAGAGTTACATGGCGAACCAGATGGCAGTGCAGATCCGGATGGGCGTCTGGAAAACAAAGAGTCAAATGCGGCCCAACTGCCAGCATTGCCTAAATCACCGCCACCCACGAAACTGATAGATGCACGTCCCTCCTTCTTACATGGTCTGCAGAAGCAGCATGCACCAATTTTGCTGAAGAAACCGGATCTTCCCGCAAAGCCGGTGGTGTCGCCAACTTGCACACCGCTGAAGACATTTTTCAGTAAACGCGCGCCAACAAATGCAGAGCAACAAGTCATCAATCAATTACACTTGGTGATGTCAAAATCCAATGAAAACTTAAACTTGAGCGCTGTAACGCCAGAGGCACTAAAAGATGATGCCAAGCTAAAGAAGGGCCGAGCGCCAAATCCGCCGCCCGAGCAAAAAACTAGCGCACCACCAACGCCCGAACGCGACTACAATGTTGCGCTAGAATTCGAAAAAGCACGCGCCAAAACAATCGATGTCGCGGTGGAAGAGAAATTTACCAAAAAAGTCACCGTTACAGAACAACAATCGGCGCCGCCTACAGCTCAAGCACAAACTGAAACCGAGAAACAAGCTAATAATGAACAGAGTATTGACACTAAAACGTCAGTTGATCGCTTGGAAGCAGACAAGTCGAATGTTACATCTTTTCAGCCGACAAGCGAACAAACAACAACAGCAATAGCCGCCACACCCGGCGCTGCTAATGCGGCCGTATCTGCCATGGCTAATTCAAACAGCATTTATACGCGCAAAGTAGCGCCAACAACAGCAACGAACGCTGCACACAGCAATCTTACGAATAGTACAAAGAACGCCTCATCGCCGGTTATAAGAGAGAAGGACAAACGTGAGCGCGCCACTGTTAATCCGAAATTCCGCAGCCTCAATACATTTGTGACTCAACGCAGCAATGCGCTGAAGAACATGCAATTGCAAACGGCTACATCATCACTCAGCCTCAAGCAATCGCTTACACCAGAGCCACTGCCGAAGAATCATAAGAACCTGTCTCTGTCCGAGGAATGTCTGCCCGATGTGACACAGACCAAAATGATGTTGAACCTGCCAGCATTACCGCCGACAAGTGACAAAAAATTGTTGGCATCGCAACAGCAACCACAGCAGCCAACGCCGCCACAAAAGACCAAGACGAAATTTTCGATTAAGAAATTCTTGCGCATGGGTGCCAGCAAAACGACTGACAATCTACACAAAAAAGATGGTATCTACTCGGAGATTTGTACGGGCGAGGAGGCGGGTGTGGTAGGTAAGCCACGTTTAGTGATCATTCATCCGATCGACATTAATCCGACCGCCGTGGAAGTGGTCAAAGATATAACAAAGACCAGTGATGCGGTCACAGCACAAACAGTGGCCGTGGTGACGGCCAAACCGCCAGCACCGCCATTGCGTAACATGGACGCACAACGTTCGCACGAGCTAAACAAACCGGCACGTCCGCCGCCGCCAAAAAGCGCCGAGTTACGACGGAAGCAAGCAAGCATCGGTCTAAATGCCGTTTCTATGTCAGTGACGGACTCGCCGGTTGGCCGCAAGCCCGGCGGGCTAAGTACGTGCGAAGCAGGTGGTTCTATAAAATTAAAGGCGGACAATGTTTATGCCAATTTAGGTAAGTGTCTTGCACATTTTTATGAGTAAATAATATATTTTGTTTTAACAAGCATATGAATCATGAGGTAATGTGGTCATCCTTATTATTTATTGTTTTGTATAGTTTAATTTTTGATCTTTTTAGTCCCATTTCTTAGGTATGATATTTAACTAATTTTTATTTTCCATATAATGTCATAATTGCACAATAAATTACCTTATAGTCAGAGAGAACCATGTTGTTAAAAGAACGCTTTCCCCACGAGAGCCCTTACTTTGCCCTTTAACTTGTGGGTATAGAAGCTGTTGACTTCTACTAATATATTTTTATATTAAATGGACTTTATTTCGAAGTCATAGCTGACCGATTTCTACTTCGCTAGCACAAGTTGAGTCAACAAGAATGTATCTTGTATTCATGTTTTCATTCTTTTAGCGATCCTCACTATATAAATAATGTAAAACCTTTAAGAGTATTTCTTATCTTAAAAGGTTTAACAAAATAAGTCTAGGTCAAGGTTTGGCATACTTTAGTCAGAAATATAATTGCGTTAGAGGGGTCCATTTCTATAATGGCTAAAGTGAAGACTTTCGGACGGCTTTCCTAAACGTTTGTATTTAATTTGGCATACAATTTAAAATATTTTTCACTAATTTATTTCTCTGAATATGTAGGTGACAACTTTATCTCTATATTCTTTAAATTGAGGACTCACCGGCACTTCGAGAAACGTTAACTATTGCTTTTGTAATAATATTTGATTTATTTAAGAAATTGAGCGCTTTTTTTTTAATGCGATGTACAACATTTTCTGTGCAGACATCTACGGCCGGCGTGTTTAAGCAACAGAAGCTTCTATAGAAAGAACCAATTTTTTGCCTAAGCTAACAAAAATAGTTCGTCTCCAATATTTAGTCGAATTTTGAAAAAAGAAAACGTGCTCTTAAGATGTACGATATGAAATATAATACTTCAAATTTAAGTACAGGCTGCATTAAGGCGTGCCTTTATTGACCAGATCAAAATCAGTTCTTTTACTTACTTGCACTTTCTATTACTTTTTTAGATTTGGCTCACTTTTTTAGATTTTTGTTGAAGAAACTGTATAGTGTGATATGGCGCACTGTCCTGTAGAAACCAATAAACTTCAAGATCCTTTTTATGCATTGGTGGTATACATATAGCTCCAACATCTATCGATATCGGTTTCCATAGATCGTATTTTTTTTTTCATTTGACCCAATAATGTTATTGGTGACCAGAAACAGTTACTTTTTGAAATGATTTTCTGCTCCACAAAAGTACTGACAGTATAGGTCAGACAGTATAAAATGGGTTCGAAGATGTGCACTTTGAGTTAAGTGTCGTGTTCCATAATATAAACGACTTTAGCTCAATGTGCAGCAATTAGTATTGAACTGAATTGAGGTTTCCTCAACTCATCAAATCAACTCTATCTTAATTTATTCAATATTTATATTCCCACATAAAAGAAAACAGACCCCGTATAAGTAAAAAAAATTTACAAATTTCTCTTTTTAATTATTAATTAATGTCTTTTTTCGCCATTCTTACTTACGAGTATAATACTTTTCGTCTTGATAGAAAGAACATTAAATTTTCTTATAAAATATCGCATATCTCTCCAACGTTCTCTTTAAACTTAATAATTAACGATTTTTGAATTTGGCCTGTTAAAATGTCACTAAATTCTTACTAAGGTACTAGAATATTTAAACTCTTTAAGTTATTCGTGCAATGCTGAGCAACAAAATATGCTGCCTCAAATTATTAGACATTTTTGCATAAATCAAACGACACACATATCACACATAGGTATATGTAGGTATATATGCATATACCTATATATGTATGTACATTCATAGATAAGCAAGAATAGAAAATATTTGCTGCAAAATAAAATACCGATGAAGAATTTCGGATTTCGGCAGCAAATAACATTCGAATGCTAAATTTCAATAGCTCGTAGACAAGCATGTATTGGGAAACTTATGTCTGTGTTGAGGTGTGCTTGCATTGCTATTTGTGTACACATGTATGTGTGTAGGTGAAGATGCACGTTCCATAACTGTGCTTAACATTCATGGATTAGAGTTGCCTGAACAAAAAAAAATAAAATGGCATACCAGTCACAAGCATAGTAGAAATGGCGAGATCGTTAGGGCAATAAGGTGGAACACGACACCACGCAAGTAAATCTCCTCAAAAAAACACGTCACGTTTCAACACACACAAAAGCTCAGCCCGACACTTGAGTAGCTAAACACATACGACCTTCAAAATGCTAAAAACAAAGTATGTAATGAGAAAAACAACAAAAAACACTGAAAACACTAACGATAATAATGAACCCAATTCAAATTCAGGCGAAGTAATGTGCCAACTCGAGAGGAAAATAGAAAAACGAATTGCCCAACAGCCTCGTCAGCAACCCATTTACCTACAAAACTACTGAAAATAAGCAAAAGTAAAAACGAAACAAAAATATGAAAAAAAAATACGCAAGTATAAAGTCGAAATGTGAAATGAAGAAGCGAAGTACATACATACCTACATAGATGCATAACTGATTAGCTGGTAGCTAGGGAACTTGGATCAATCATCAAAGTCGTAATCTGCCATGAAATACAAAAATAAAAAATGCAATGGCATGAATAGAACTTCGACTGCTTATAAACATACAGGCATACATATAACTATGTACATATGTACATCATTCGTTTGCTCGAAGCATAAATATTATATATTACATGTTTGTATGTGTAAAGGTTTATGAATATTTACTTAAGTATGCTATGCTATATGTGATGGGTAGTCGCACATATTCCTAAATATAACGGTAATTTGTGTGTATATAACGATGGCTGTCGACTGGATTAACTGGGTTAAGAGCACATACGTTCTGGCACACACACACCCCTCCACACAAAAATTTCGGTTGCTATTTGTATTTAAGTACACTTCGAAACTAGTTGGCGAGCTTTTATTTAAGAAACATTGTAACTTACTACCTATGCACGTGAATGAATAATAAATAACCTTTTATACCTACATACTTACGTGTGTAAATTCAGAATGTACGAGCGTTATAAATGCCAAGAATCGAAGCTTCGGGCATTCTTGACCAGATTACCGGGCAGCGGCTAACAAACCGGCCGGTCGATACGGCTCATCAGCAGGTATAATTACAACGGAAATGACAGTGTTTCGAAACGATAACGAAGCCGAAGTTATTGTACATTATATATACGAATATAATATTTACAGAAGGTTCAAACAATAATATGAGTTTTTGAGGAATAAGTTTTTAGAAAAAAAAAATTATTTTCCAAATTTAGTTTTAACTCAAATTTACTAAATTCTCAAACATTTACGTTTTTATTTACATAACTTTTCAAAACTGTTATTTAAATATCAAAGATTTGTTCAAAACTTGGTGAATTTTTGTGCAATATTTTTAAATAAATGTAAGCCAATTATGATTAAAAAAAAAAGATCTGAAGATGACTTGTTAAAAATCATATAGAAAATATTTTTCAAATAAAAAATACCGTCAAGTAAGCTTAATTCCTGAAGTAGTTTATTTCACTTTCAAGGGTAATAATAATCATCAAAAATAACAATGCGAATTTCCTAAAGATTAATAAATTTTATTATTTTTATAGAACAGCGATTAAATCAGTTGATAATGTAGCTAATTAAGGTAGGAAAACAATGCAAAATGTTGAGTATTGATAAGCCAATCAGCTCTCTTACATATTTTTCTAGAATTTTTGATATCCAATAACAAAGAAGAATTCTTCAAGTTCCTAAAGGTGCTCCGTCACTTAACATAAATTACATGCTATACTTTTCAGGTTATGTATTTAATTGGACAGATAATTTACATCTAATACAATAACAAGTAAACTCAATTTCTTGAGATTTTTAAATCACAAATATTTTTCAGAATATATTTTCAAGTCTTTATTCTTTTAATTCCAGTTTGTAAACTGTATATTTTTTAATTAAAAAAAAATTAACTCGAAATTGTAAGCACCTTTTATGCAACCTCTATTACTAATTTCTCACTTAATATTTTATTTTCAAATTGTTTTTTTTTTTAATTATAATTAATATTAAATTAATTGTTAACTATAATTAATTATATGGTGGCAACTTTATAAAAAAAATACCTGTGTAGAGTTCTCCCTATGGTAATTTTTTTTTTTAAATCTTTTATTATGATTTAGCAAAAATGTTATATTTATAGTTAGTTTCATGAGAACAAACTTAGCCCATTGTGTCCAGGTAATTTGGCAAACTTTTAGTAATTTCGTAATGCGGTAGATGTGAAGAACTTTACGTATAAATGTTTACTTACTTGTATAATATTCTTGCACCTGCAGCCCTCGACCTCTGAGTGCCACTTCCATTTTGCGCCAATCGTAAGCGGCAAAACCAACGAAGCGTCCACTCACTTGACCAGCAGTTAAGCAAACCAGAAATCTTTAAGCTTGGATTCAAGCACGCATTCTTTGCCGTCGCAGTTTGTTGCTGCCGCATAAATGTCGAGAGCTCATTTTCATAAGCGCAAAGCTGCCGTTATCCACCGGGCTTACACATGTGTATATAGGCATGTGTGTGTGTGTATGTATTGGTGTTTGCGGGCAGCTGACAGAGCGCGCATCTTTATGTGATTTGTTTCGAATTTGGGTCACAACTACTATTGGCTTAGCTGTTTGCTGTTGTTACAGTCGTGGCTTTGTTTTATTTTTGTTTTTGTTTTTCTTATTTTCGATGTTTTTATTATGTTGTTGTGCCACTAGGGTTGATGCTGCCACTTGGTTAATTCAAGATTAATGATTCTTGGTCAGCTGTGAGCACCTCTGGGCAGTACATGTGTTTTTGTTTTTGCATGCTGTGGCATTTGAGGTTTTAACCGTTCACACAAGGTTAATGAAAATAACTGTACAGTCAAATAAAAGTACATGCTTACACGCATATTATTTACATAAATACGTAAATTCGTTTGTGTCTTTGTATGTGTGTATGGTATATACATTTGCAAAAATTAAATATATGTGCATATGTATTTATTTGCATGCACACTCGACCGGATTCGCATTTAGATTGGGGTTAAATGAATTTTCAATTGCATTGAATGTAAGGTATACACGGGAGACTCTGCAGGCCTCGTGACGACTTATGTACAATACATACATTTATACATATTACTCGTACATATTTATTTTTACTAATGCAATATTTATCTGAAGCTATTGTAATTTCACAGACACCATATCAATTTATTGCATTTACATCTACATAAAATTCCATGCGGACGAATGAAGTAACAAAGGAAAAACCTTAACTTCGGTTAACGGTTCGAAGCTAAAATACACATCACAAATAAAAACGCTTGCATGAAAGAACTTTATTTTGATCGATTAGTTTGTAAAGCAGCTATATGCTTTAGTCGTCCGATATCGGCGGTTCCAACAAACATTTTCAGGTCAATATCTCAAACACTGATGAACTAGTTCGCGTATATACAGTCAAACAGACGGACATGGCTAAATTGACTAATCATTTATATATGTTACATATGTATTAGGGTGGAGCGAAATAAAATTTTTTTTTGCTTAGCCTGGGGGTAAAATCTTTAGATTATAAAAAAAAGAAAATTTTTGAACAAAATAAAAAAATTTTTTTAACATTCAAATTTTCGAGTTAAAATTTTTATTTCGTAAAAAACTTTTGATAGGTGTTCTAGAAGCTGTGGAGAGTCCTCTTTCTAGCCAATTAAAAGTTATCAACTTAAAAAAGTTTTTTGTGGTCATTATTGGAGTTTTAAAAAAAAGTCTTAAAGTCTCTTTTGAGTCAAAAACCGTCACATTCGGTCATTTTTATATAAATGTAATAGCAAATAAGTACATATATACATAAAGATTTTTCGATATAAATGTTTTAATAATACGCTTACCTTATTTCTCCTAAACTACAATAAATTATATATATAATAATCGCACTAAATTCCATTCTAAAAATCTTGATGGCTTACGAAAATTTATCTGTCTCAATTGACGCCACCGTATGAAGCTATTTTATGCTCCTTACCACCCTTTTAACCCACCCAGCAGAAAGTATCATCTAAAGATTGAAAATATATAGTTTAAACCTCATTGCTCTTTATATATACCACTTAAACCAAGCATTAAACCAAGTTTTGATTGTTGATTGCAACAAAAATGAACAATAGGGCGTGCAAGCTTACATCTAAACGCCACGAAAGAATACAAACTAAGCGCACAAATGCCATTCTGTTTTTAAAGCCAACAATAACTGGTATACAATTTCATAAACATTGGTCATGCCCATTGAATAACCAACTGTCAAAGAAAATAGCTCTGAATATAAAAAAGAAATGACAAGAGCTTGAGAAACTTAGCGCTTGCAGATTATAGCTATTAAAATTATTGTCGAATTTACTACTCGCAAATTATGTTTATTTATTTTTAGTGTTTTAATGAATTTTAATATTGTGTTAATATGTTATATGCGTTATTAACAAAAAAATTATTTTCATTTGCACACAAACCTACATTCTATAGAAATATTTGTATGTTTGTAGATATATAAAATAATTTATTCACACCATTCACCGACTTCTGTTTTCTGATTTGGTTATCAGCTGACTTTTATCAATGCGAAATTCAAATATTTAAGATTCCATAATGCTTCTTTAAAAATTCTCAACTTTTAATAATATATGTAGGTCATCAATATATAGGTGAAAACCTGTTATTCAAGACATAACTGTGAAATATGGTTAAATTGATACATACATACTAAATCAGGTGAACAGGAGTTCGTCAAACTTCTACAAACTTTTTTTATTAAACATTATTTATTTTTTATATTAAAGTTATCCATTGATGATGTGTTCTCTGACATTTCCGCTTTAGAAATTAAAAAATAATCTGATTAGTTTTACGGTTTGAATAAGAAAACTGGCGCCTTAAGTATGGAAAGTATGGAGTTCTCGCTCGAAAATACACTTTTTAACACTTAAAATATTAGAATACCTAATTCATTCAGATTTTGATTTTACAGTATTTACCTAGAAGTCTTACATTGTATCATATATTAAAAAAAGGACGGCATATCTTATATTTGGACTTCATGGTTATACTAACCTAACATTTTTTTAACACTGATCAAGTCGGAAATCTATGTATGATAATTGACTTCTTCCATATTAATTTAGTTATTTTCTTTTCACGCAAGAAAATTAATATGTTGCTCCATCCCATCCAAATCTTTGAACCTATTCACGACCGTTATGCAATCTAAATATGTATGGATGGTAATATTAAAAATAGTATGGCCTATGTTTAAAGCTGAGTATATGCTTTTATTAGCTTTACTCAAGGTTCTCTAAAGGCAAAACACACAACACCCATACACAAAATCTAATCCAGCTATTTTTTATTGAGACCAGTAAACAACTCCTTCAAACTAGCCGAGTGGAATTTGTAGACAAATATTATATAATATTTGTATATATATTTAATGAAGTGTGTCTAAATGTCAATAATGATTTTTAAATCGTTAACATTAGGGTGGCAATCTGGTTATAAATAAATCATTTATAATAATAATAACAATAATTTATCAAAAACCAAGAAATATAGTTATTATACTTACTGAAATTGCATTCTTCTTCTCATGCATATATTTGCAGGCGAAATTCGCTCATCGATTGCACCGCGCAAACCAGAGCGTACGGCCAGCATGCGGGAGCGTGAAGCACAATTGGAATTGGCACGTAAACGACATGCCGGGACGCGCAATGAAAACGCCGATACTATCTCGATTTGCTCGTCAAACGGTGATAATGTATCGTTCGAAAATAACAGCAACAACAATAACAACAACAATAGCCTTACGCACACTTCAATCAATCCCAATGGTGCAATCGCCGCCAACAGTAACAAGCGAAACACAATCGCAACCAACGCAATGAGTCCACAACTTTCCCCAGCCGATAGAGCCAACACGCCCACAGCAACAACAACAACAACAACAATAGCGAGTGATGGCAAACCACCGATCGGCAGCCGTACGAGTACCTTTGAACGTCGCAAAAGCGACCCAAAAATTGCAATCGCCAATAAAATGGAAATTTTCGAAAATCGCACAATTGGCAACGGCAGTGGCAGTGCGACGTTCACCGTCAGCCACAACGAAGTGCGTCCGACCAGTTTAAAGGATTCGGTGCGTAAAATTAACAGCACAATTGACAGTTACTTAAAGGACAAACGCGATTACGAGAATATGTATGAAATGGTGAAGAGTCCCTCGTCGCCACCATTGCCGCCGACACGTTCCGTGGATTTGACCGCCGGCCAGCGTGTGTTGCCGCCACGCCGTAACAATAATAACAGCAATATATATTCGGACACAATGTCGGTGGCGAGTTACACGCGCAGCGAATATGGACCGGGACGCAATTACGGAATGAACAATAGTTTAGGTAGGGTCTTGGTATCAAAAGATTTTATTTATTAAACTAACTGTTATGTTCACATTTTCACTTACCTACAGCCAACATTCCACGCATTATTTCCGCTTCCTATTGTGGCAGTGAAGCGGGCGAATTCGAGATTTATGCGCCGTACAGTTATTACGGCAGCGAGGCAGGCGGTGATGTAGCTACAGACATCAATGACAGCGTATGGGGCATACCATCGGTAAGCGGATTCTCAGTTTTGGCGATTGAAGTTTTTACAAAATAGTCTTTTGCGGCAATTCGAATTGATTTTGAATGATTTTTTCCTCTATCTGTAAACAATCTTTTGAAAGAAATTGGAGATTTTATATTGAAATATATATTTGAATTTTTCATCTCTCCATTTTTTAGACTAACTTCTAAAAGTATAAAAAAGATTTGAATAGATCACATAAATTATTACCGTTCTCCAAATGGTTTGAAAAAACAAGCACCGAGTTGTCAGTTCTTGGTCGCTTAAACGTAACGATTCGTATACGAATGTTACATTGAGTCGACTCAGGGCCTGGTTTTGCGGATAAACAAAGAATTTAGTGTCAGTTCGTAGGATACCAATGCGGGATCTCCAATAATATTGTAGTATACTCGTATTAGTTTCAGTTAAGATTATCTTTGTTGAGGTTTGAAGGTTATTCCACCATCACTATTTGTGCCGAAAAACTTAATGAGGCAACTCAAACCCGCGAAAAAGTCAAAGTAAAATAATTATTTTTCTTTCTAAAAATTAAAAAGATCTCATTTACCAAGGCTTACTTATTAATTTTAAAACTGACATACTCTGCAATTCCTCTTCAAGGCCATCAAAAATCGTACAAAGGCTACAAATCGTTTGCGGATGCGCAAAGGACGCAGCGTCGTACACAAAACCATAGAGGACAATTACACCGCCGTGGTTGTGGCTAACCACGAGGCCTTGGCGCAGGTGCTCGATCAGGTGAGTAACTATTCGGAAAATGTTTGCGCTCATTACACCAACACAAACCTTTACCCTTGTCACTTCCTAAACATGCAGCTCCAGCAAACACCTGTCATACCGGCGGCGCTCCGACCTCTAGCAAATGCCATTAATTTACGGTTTGAAGATTTCCCCATATTGGATGGCGCACAAGCGTTCGTTGTCGGTAAGAAGGCTTTCCATGCGGCGCTCTGGACCACAGCACCCGTTACACTGGCACTCTCGGCCGATTGCAATCAACTTTCCGGTGTGGGTGGCGAATTGAATCAGCTGTCGGGTGGCGTCAGCGGTGTACTCAATCCCATAACGGAATTTTGCGATATAGTGCCCAGCTATCACTTGCCGCTCATGCCCTCGACAGCAGTGACCTTGCTACAGGCCACAATATCGGTGTTGCCACGTTTGCAATTGGAAACGCTGCAGTCGATCGGCGGCATATTGAAGGGCAAATCGCACGTGCTCGACAAGAGCAACTTCAATTTCCGTGGTTCCATACCGAATTTGGCCGCTGCCGGCTTGAAGGATAGCGCCGGCGTAAATGCGCTGCGTAATGTCATGTCCGTGCAGAATTTGAGCACACTCAACGAGGAGTCATCACTGGAGAAGTGTGGCGGCGCATCGCTGGAGTCGGCGACCGATAATACCAACACAGCGGCAGGCATGCCGGCATTTGACGATGTCATGACACGTGAAGTGGCTTTCATAATGCTGCAACTGGTGAATGGTATGAAGAATTTGCAAGCGAAGGCGATCGAGGAGATGCCACTGAGTTTGTCAAATGTAGTGCTGTCGAAGGATGTGGAGAATAAGGACGCGCAGGCACGTCTCTGCGTGTTGCAAGGGTGAGTGCAGTTAGAGACCCAACCAACTCGAGAAATATTATATATGTATATTGTTATTCTTTCTCTTATCATATTGTTACAGTAGTAACAACGACGAGGACGAACCCATGGGCACACTCTGCAAATGTGCACACATCGCGCTTACCGAATTGCTGCCATCCACTAAGATCACGCCCATCCTAGCCGATATACTCTTGCAAGAGCGCGCTGAATCGCTATCGAAATCGAAATCCGTCTTGGAATTCGTGCTCTGGGGTCCATCCGATGTTGTACTCTCCGGCTCCACGAAAGAGCGCGAACTGGCGTTGCAGCGTTGGTTGGATTTGGAGCGCGCCACCGTGTTGCACGGCCTGGTGCGCACGCGTGTCGAGCTCACCGTCTACGATGAATGCCATTTGATGTTCTTGGTGCGTTCGACGGCGAAAATGATGAACGATGCGGCGAAAATTGTCTGTAGCTATCAAAAATCGACGACGGAGCTGTCGCAATCACAGCAGCGTCAGCAAGCGGATTAATGTTTCCATTTAAGGGTATGTAAATATATAAACTTTTAGCTGAAGTGGTTGTTGTAGTGTGAGTTAGGTTAGAAAAAAAATAGATTTAAGAAAATTGTTTCACGAAAAAAATGTGTATGAAATTGGAACAACAAAACAAATTCGAAATTTCTATTTTTGCTGCAACTCGTTGTCCAAATTTAGACCTTATTTAATGCTGCATTTAAAATTATTTATTCTGAACTGAAACTCTCGATATTTCTAATGATTCACATTTTCCATCAAAAAAAGTTAAAAAATTAAAAGTAAATTATATTACCGTTATTTTTTACAAATAATATCACACTAACTATTTTTTTTATATTTAATATTTATATAGTCAATGTAATTAAATTTCAGAAATTTTGAAAATAAAAGCATTTTTTGCTTTTAAGCTCACCTCTAATGTAAATTCATATAAAATATTAGAAAATTAATAAAAAATGTTTTTTGAAGGTTTTAAGTAGTGCAGTTTTGTATTTTGCTGCTTAACTTGTTTCTGTAAAGAAAAATACATATATAAACATGCCAATTAGCAGCTCAATTTTTTAGAAAATAAAATTTGTTGTTATATACATACATTCGCTTCACTACAAAAACACTAAAAATATTTAGAAGTCTTTCGCTTATGTAAAGTGCCAAATTTATCAAAATATTACAAAAAACAATCGATAAAAATTTAAAAAAATACAAATATTTTATATGTGCTCTCTACCTACTTTCCAAGCCTTAACGTACTATTAATAACAAAATATGCACATGGCAATTTATAATATATAAAAAACAACATAACAGGATGTTCGAAAATTTTTGTCATGTAAACTTATCAGTCTCATTTATTGCAAAGAATTTGTAAAAAAAAAAATTATAATACAATAGTAATGAAGAAAACAAGATTATCGCACAATTTTTGTAAAAAGAAATAAAATATGTTAAGTTTGTGTACATTTTTTCTAATAATATAATTTTTTTAATATTTATATATTAATATTTTCTATCAATCCATTTGTTTCGTTAACCATGTAATTTTTTTTAATTTTTGTTGAATTAGCAAACTGTCTACATATTTATGAACGTCTTACTCGAACAAATATAATAGAAACTACTAACATATATAAATATATTATATATATAAAAGAATTGTAATTCATGAAAACCTTTTGTATCATTAAATTTTGTATGCAATAAGTTGGTGTTTGAAATATCATAAATTAAATTTTATATATATCTACATATATATATATCTTATTATAAATATTAAATATATTGTATAACAGTTCACTGAATAAATGAATATTTATGAATTTGATTTAAAAATAAATAAAAAAAATTAAAATTATTGCTGTTTTATTTATGAGTGAGCAGCGCTAAAGAACACTAATATCAGAGAACGTAAATGAATAGAGAAGGAGCAAATGTTAAATGAAATCTTTTTGAGTACTAATTTGTAATTCCAGATGAGGGAACATCGAAAAATATAACTTCGAAAAAGAAAAATACACCACTCAATGTGCGAAATGCTATAAATAGACACAACGAATATTCCTAAATGAAAAATCGTTGCGCATACCTATTAAGATTTATGTTTTCAATTTCTATGATATGACAAATTTATAATTATGAAAAGCCTTCTGAATTAAAAATCTGTATTACCGGTAAAAACCGCAGAATTCATAATAAAATAAACATTTAATAGGCAATTTTTCCAACTTATGTTAAGTAAGCAATCAATACACACGCTGCTCTATTCAACATCTGGTGCCTAAAAGTATGCAGCACTTGCAACCACAAGTTACATTCGGCATTCCTAAACGTCTTACTCACCCTGTGTCGGAACGCAGCAACTGCCTACAATTCTAGCTTTTCTGCGCGTCTGTTAGAAATGTTGGCATTAAGGAAAAATGACTAAGGCGGCAAACTTCGCCGACACGCACACACGAACACACACAAAAGCATATTGTCCGCAAAAATGACGATATCTAGGCAGATTCCCCCTTCAAATTAAAAAAAAAAGCACACAAGCGCGCACACATGTGCACACTTGGAAAAATAACAATAAAAGTAATATTTAATATTATATATAAACTAGTTTTTGTGCTTAAAAAATTATAAATATGTAATTTATATTATTTTATTGAACGTTATTACTTTTATTTAACAAACAGTTAAATTTAATTATTATTTTTCTTTTTAAATATGCTTTCAAATTATTTTGTGCACGCGTTGAGCTAATATGTGTAGTTGTGTATGATAGAATAATAAAAATTTTTAATTTTGTATACCATAATTTGCAAAAAAAAAATATAATATGATATTAGAGTATTAACTAGAAGTCATAAATTTATTATTATTACTAGTACTTTTATTAGCATTGCTATTATTAGTATTTTACATGTTTTCTTGATCTTCTAACAAACTCTTCTTTTTCCTAACTCTTCTTTTCCTAACTTCTTAACTGATTTTTGAAAAATTAATCTATGATTGAAACTCAATAAAAATGTTATAAGTCTAATCTTTAAAGTTTTTATTTCACCTTTTTTGTATGTAAGTATTTAAAGTTTTAGCTAAAGTAAAAAATATATTATATTCAAAAAGTAATAAAAAAAAAGAAAAATTATCAAAATATTGAAACATACGTATTTTAAAATTTTTGAAAATTTTTAAAAAGTTAATTAAATTTTTGAAAATTATCTGATATTTGGTCCGTTTTTTTATCTAAAATTTCCAACTAACTTCCATTTTCCAAATTTTCATTTATGTAAGATTTTAGCTATAATATATACCATCTAAAAACTTACCTTGATTCCAATTTTTAAAACAACTTAATATGCATTTTTTTCTAATTTCCATTTATTTTGTAGAAAAACGAGTTTCAATATATTCTTGTCAATGTGTATATAAGTATTTTTAAGGCCATTTTTTAACTACATTTATTTTGACGTTGCTCTATATTATATGTATAGTAAAATTTCCCCCAATCGCTTCAAGTTCAAGAATGTTCAAAGTAATCCGAAAATACTTGCATGAGGTCCAAAACGCGATTCGTGGTCTTAATACTGAGGTGTAATCTTTCAGAAGCCACTGAGTTCGACTGGTTTTCTTTCCGTTCCCGTTCCCACGACAGTCGGGTCTACGTAACCGGAACGGACCCGGATTTTATCCGGCCAAGGACTGTCAACTCGGCTGAATTCTGCCGCTACAACAACAACAACTGGTTTCCTTTATATACTAAATTAACGAATCTGTCATCTATATAAAGAGTCTTATGTTTTTTAAAAACCTCTTGAATATTTTTGTTTAAGACCATCTTCGCTTAAATTCAAAATAATACTTTTTAGGACATCAAATATAATAAGTGTTTTAGAATAAAAGATTTCAAAATATACAATATCGCTAGGGTGTTGTTTTTAAAATAAATTTAAAATTTAATAAATAAAAATTTAAGTGGACTTAAGACAATGCAATGCACACTACAAAATCAAAACGTTTCGTCGCTTTCTTACACTATTCTATCAAGAATTACCCACCAACCCTCAAACCGGGATATCCAATGGTCAGTTCACAATACTCTTTGTCCGTCATAAACAGTTGATTTTGTATGCAGCCAATTCAAAGATCTGCCTCCAGGACAAAATACTGTCACATTCTAACTAGATTTGGACCGAAATTTTGACGAAATCACTAATCGTAGAAGTAATATGTTAGGTTAGGTTAGGTTAGGTTAGGTTAGGAGGTCGATCCCAGAAGGGATCCCACTTGGACAGCTTAAGACGCCAGTCCGTTGTGATACCTACGACTCCTATAGTCCGGATCAAAAGACCCTTACAAGTCGACAAGACGTCTTGTGCTGACTACAAACTTGTTAAGACGGCCAATATCCATTACGGGTAGGTATTCAGGACCGCCAAACGTGTGATTCCCGAGATATTTCAATCGCAGCCTAGCGAATGCCGGACATTGGAGGAGAAAGTGCTGGGATGATTCCACCTCGCCCTCCTCCATACAACTTTGGCAACTGGCATCGGGTAGTACACCAAGCCGTACCGCATGAGTGCCCATTGGACAGTGTCCAGTGAGAACTCCTACAATAGCGGCTAGATGCACTTTGCTCAGGGCGAGAAGTTCCCCGACCTCCTGCGATCCACTCTTGGCCAGAAGGATCTCGCGGTCGCACAGGACCTAGTCGTCGACCAACGTCTGCTGAGTGCACGCGAGGTCCATTGATCCAAAGTTAGAGCGCAAGACGCTAACGGAGATCCTACCCGATCCCATTCCGATGTGAGCGGGGCAAAGGTGCCCCCCCTGGCTAGCTCATCGGCTTTGCAGTTTCCAGCGATTCCGCTGTGACCAGTATATGTACATAATGTTCGATAATTTTAAAGACTATGTTACTTTTGAGTCCGCACTTTTACGTCTGTGATCTTTTTTATTAACTCGTACACGCCTGTATCATAAATATTTATATATGTATACTTTCTTATATTACTTTCCAATGAGCACGAAGAACGTTTTTTTGCTGATGATCGTCAAATTAAGAACTGAAGTGCTTAAATTTAGCAACAGCTCCAACAGGAATTGCAATCAGTTTGCATTCATTTGCAGCAGCAACTGGACACAGACGGATTAGCAGCCATAATGTTCGTTGTGCGAAGACGCGAGTGTGTAGCAGTATTTAAGTTGAACGTTGTGTCAAAACACATTACGGCTGTAAAACGTCTACTGAGCAAACAACCGGTAATTATACGAGCAGTAAAAAATTTATTTTAAAAAATCTATAATTTCGACTGCTTTTTTGCTGTTATTTATGGCGGACACAACCGAATATGAGGGTTAATCCTCTACTTTGGATGCAAGCTGAGGTCAATTAAATACATCCATACAAATACACTAGTGAAGCAAGTTTTAAGATACTTATTTTTGAAACGCAGAGATACCTGTTCCTTTTTCTGTTTCTACTGGTTCTGGCACAGGAGTCAGGACAATAGTCCTGGAATAGGGTTAATGTATAAAGTTTAAGAGTATATTAGGAACAGTGGGCCGAATATATAGATGGTCCCAAGTCATGGCAGATCATTCGTATAACGTAGATTTCTCAATGCCGACATTACTTAAAGATATACATTTTTTCAGCAAACGATTTGACAAAGTTTGTAACAACAAGTAAATATATATGTAAATATATACATATATTATCGTACGCTCTGCCAGCTGTAAAAGTACATGTGCACTTCAGTTTTCGTTTATTTCTCGTGAGCAGATTCTGATAAAGCGGAGCTTGGGTGAATAACCGCCAAAGAAGAAAAAAGCAAAAAGAAATAGCAATTAAGCGATAAATATCATATTTTTATTGCAGACATGTCAGACAGCACTTAATAATGAGAGTAAAGAGTCACTCTCCGAATGGCAGCAGGCGCGACCTTTCAAGGAAATTCACCGTGTAAACCCGTACACACTTTTCTTTCAATTTCTGCCCGGCGGACGATATCATAAACTGGATGCCACACAAATCTTTGAGACGATGTTTGCCGAACATGCGGATATTTATATCATGCCCGGCATGTTGGGACGACCCGATATAGTTATGACGCAGAACCCCAGTGATTTTGAACAAATCTTTCGCAACGAAGGCGTCTGGCCGAACAGGCCAAGCTCATCAACTTTAGACTACCATCGCAGCGAGTTGCGCGCAGATTTCTATCAGGGTGTTGAGGGGATTATATCAACGTGAGTTGAAATATATATTATAAGCTGTCCGTATTTTCTGTAAAAAAGAGTACACTAAAACATTACAGTCAAGGCGAGAAATGGGCCACATTTCGTTCAGCTGTCAATCCGATACTTATGCAGCCCAAAAATATCAATATTTATTTCGATAAGATGGCGCAAGTTAATCAGGAATTCATGGAGAGGTTAGCTCATATTCAAAGCAAAAACACTTTATTGCCGCAAATCACGATACTCATTTCAGAATTCGAACCATACGTGATCCTCAGACACTAGAAATGCCCGACGATTTCGATAAATGGCTACAACGTTTTACTCTAGAATCAGTTTCCATAGTCGCATTGGACCGCCAGCTAGGTTTGTTGCGTGAGAATAGCGCGGTGCCGCCCGAAGTGTGGACACTTTTTCAGAGTATGTCTGATTTTTTCACAATTCCCTTCGATTTGGATTTCAAGCCGTCACCCTGGCGTTACATCGCCACTCCAAAGTTTAAGCAACTCATGCGTTCACTGGATAATATACAAAATATAACACTGAAATACATCAATGCTGCCATGGAGCGTCTAGCGTTGGAACAACGTCAAGACATCGCACGTCCGGAGCAGGAGAAGAGTGTGTTGGAGAAATTACTGCTTATCGATAAGAAAATTGCGACAGTTATGGCAATGGATATGCTCATGGCGGGTGTCGATACGGTACGTTCGAAAGCTTGACCTTATTATATCCAAACAAATATTTCTTATTTTATAGAGTACCACAGTCTTCATTGGTGTTCTACTCTGCTTGGCTAAGAATCCCGAGAAACAACAGTTACTACGTAAGGAAGTGATGCGCGTGTTGCCGCAGCGGGATGGCAAGTTTGCCGCCGACGCTCTAAGTCGCATACCTTATCTGCGTGGTTGTATCAAGGAAGCGCTGCGTATTTATCCATTAGGTACCGGCAATATACGTGTTACACCAAAAGATCTCGTATTAAGTGGTTATCAAGTGCCTAAGAATACTTGGGTCAGTGTGGTAGCGGCGAGTTTACTTATGGATGACCGTTATTATCCACGTTCGCAAGAGTACTTACCGGAACGTTGGTTACGTTCGACAGAAAATGATGAGGGTGCTGAACCTCTTAAACCGATTAACCCCTTCATCTACATGCCTTTCGGTTTCGGTCCCAGAATGTGTGCTGGCCGAAGAATTAGTGATTTGGAACTGGAATTGGGTATCGCACGGTTCGTTAGAAACTTCCATATAGAATTTAATTATTCAACCGAGGATGTTTTCCGAACTGCGATCATTAATTTGCCCAACAAGCCTATTAAATTTAAATTCACCGACATTGAATAGTTTTAATGTAACCAAAAAATTAAATAAACCAATGTAATCCTTAAACATAAATCTGAAATTTAATTAAGGAGGTTAGGTGGGTGTCTTTTTTTTCTCATAGATGTTATTTTAGAAAATTTGATTGTTGTTGGCTTCAAGACTGTAACATTGCTTATAAATCGGAAGAAATTTTGGGACTGTATTACATTTTGGATAAGATGGGGAAACGCTGCTTTAATTGGAAATCGCTGGAGATAATTTGGAAAAATTGACATTAACAACCTAACTATAATATATAAAAAATTTCTAGGAATGTAAGCTTAAGCTATATTCTGAAAAATTATTGACTTAACTGTGATGTGACAGCTGACGTTTAGGTAAACTACGGACAGAAAGCTGTCAATGCAGTCAGAGTCATTGTAGGTCCAAGTAAGTAAATTAGATTAGAGAATATTTGAATAGGAACCGCAAGGGTAGAGAAAGTAACGAGCTGTGAAGCTGATTACAGATCATAATCTAGATTTGTAGGTTCTATAGGCTGCCACAGGTATCAGCAAATTTCAATTAGCATCTCTGGTCTGGAGTAGGAAGGCTATATGGAGCATAGATCAAGCATGCATTGAGGACTAATACGGATTTTATTTATTTTTTTTTCAAAGCTATTAGCTATCTCGCCAGTTGATGATAGATTTATTAAAAATTACATTGTTTGGAGGGCTATTCATGCAAATGTTTTCTAAATTCTCAATATTTATAAATTCTCAAAATTATAATCGGTGTAAAAAAGAAGAAAAAAAATGCTTTTGAACTCAGTCCTCTAATAGTTAACGGTACATTTTCAAACTAGCATGTTTTTTACTGCTGTAAGAAATACGTTCAAGATTTCGTCAATCATTCTGTACCATTCCAGGAAATGTTGCTATATAACCGGTGTATAATTGGTAAAAAGTCTTTGTTTCTCTGAGAGAAAAACTTCCTCACTTTAGGCTGGCATCTTTTGAATTATCACAAACTCAATTATTTTGGATTCAGAAATAAGAAGCCTCTACAGTGCCTCGACTGCGCGGTTGATTTTATAAAAGTAATTGTTATTATTAGCAATATTCAAAAGACACTTCAACTCACTTAGTCCGGAGTCTGTGTGGCCGTGTTATTATTAACCACATCTTTTGTTACCAAAAAACGTTGGTATGGGCTGCCATCCAAGTAAGTGAGTACCAAAATAGCTGCATCGAATATTATCACGTTATATTTTATTATATATACGAGTACATACACACATATAATATTCGTATTCAGAAGATTTGCATATCTTATTCTTGTATATCTGTCATAGTATACTTGCAAGAGTTACAATGTAAATACGGAAGAGTTTCAGTTCAAGTTAAACAGTGATTGTGCCAAGTTTATTAAAATCTACTTCAAAAAATGTTACTAGCAAATCTTCGAAGGAAAAGAGACTGTGCGATAAAGAAAGCTTCGGTTATTCGCTTGTTTGCGACAGATCAGGTGAACTTAATATAAACATTTGACTTTAGCCTCTTAAAATTATAAACTATAAAGTGGAAAATTAAAAAAAAAGCACAACCATTGAAGGAGAAACCTTAAAACTTGTTCCCTTATATACTTAGGAAAATAACATAAACAAATTGAATTTAATTTTAACAGAAATCGCTGTATCAACAACATGTCGACACCATCGCTGCAGCAAATTCACACATCGCTACGCCAGAGCAAACCGACCCCAATGAAGAATGGCAAAGAGCACGTCCATTTAACGAGCTACCTCGCGTTGGTGCACTTAAGTTGATTCGCAAATTTTTACCAGGTGGAGCTTATGCCAAACTAGATTTCAAAGATTTGGTGACGACTATGCGTACGGATTATGGACCCATTTTCATGTTGCCAGCCATGATGGGTCGACCCAATATCGTAGTGACGCACAATCCCGACGATTTTCGAAATATCTTTCGCAATGAAGGTATTTGGCCCATTAGACCATTTTCGGAAACTATACGTTATCATAGGAATAAATGGCGCGCAGATTTCTTTGAGGGCGTGGAGGGCGCAATAGCAACGTAGGTTTGCATATATAAAATGTAAAGGGTTTTTCCAAAAAGTCAAATTTTCAGGCAAGGTGAACAATGGAGCGCCTTTCGTAAGGCTGTTAACCCCTTGCTTATGCAGCCGAAGAATATTGACATGTACTGCAACAAATTAGCGCAAGTCAACCAAGAATTCGTAGAGCGGTAAGTCGAAGTAGAGATCTTGCCAACTAATTATTGTGGTTTGTGTCTCCACAGAATACGTTTGATACGCAATCCGAAAACTTTAGAAATGCCCGTCGATTTTGAGGAATGCATACAGCGTTGGACCCTGGAATCGGTGGCTGTTGTGGCACTAGACAAGCAGCTCGGTCTACTGCGTGGGGACAGTGATTATTATGCTGACGCTTTGAAACTTATTGTGGCCTTAAATGATTTCATGGCATTTTCCGTAGACTTGGACTATAAACCAACTTTGTGGCGATTTATAGCCACGCCCAAATTCAAACGACTTATGCAATCAATGGATAATATACAAAGTGTAACATGGAAGTATATAAACGAAACAGTTGGACAGCTTGAAAAGGAAAGCCAACAGGGCATCGAAAGACCCGAACATGAGCAGAGTATACTGGAAAGATTACTTAAGCAAGATAAGAAAATAGCAACTGTGATGGCGATGGATATGCTTATGGCGGGCGTTGACACGGTGAGAGACAAATTAGTTATTCTCTGACTAACCAACTATCTAACATCAAATGAATTAATTACAGACCTCCAGCTTAGCAGTTGGCGCCCTACTCTGTTTGGCTAAGAATCCGGAAAAGCAAGAGTTATTACGCGCTGAGGTGATGCGTGTGCTGCCACAAAAAGACGGCGCTTTTATAGAGGATCCGCTAAAGCATGCACCGTATTTGCGTGCTAGTCTTAAGGAATCGTTACGTGTTTATCCCGTAGCGATGGGAAATATGCGTGTGCCACAAAATGATCTAGCACTAAGTGGATATCAAGTGCCTAAAGGCACGTACGTCAGCATGATCTTTGCGCCACTACAATCAGATGCGCGTTATTACTCACGGCCTTTGGAATTTCTGCCGGAACGTTGGCTACGCTCGAACACTGAAGTCGATGAACCACAGAAGCCGACAGAAGGATGTACACACTCAATAAAGGCAAGCAGCCCTTTCGTTTATTTACCGTTCGGTTTCGGTCCAAGAGTGTGCCTTGGTCGTAGAATAAGTGAATTGGAAGTGGGTTTGGGTATAGCGAGATTGGTTAGGAACTTTAAAATAGAATTTAATTACCCAACCGATAAGGCCTTTAAAGGTATGTTAATTAATATGCCAAATATGCCGTTAAAATTTAAATTCACCGATATTGATTAAACAGAGCTTCAGATTATAAACTAATACTATTTTTAAATATATTATACAAATGTATGTAATAATCGTAAAAAAAAACAATAAATAACAATCATCTTTGTAAATTTAAAACAGTTGACAATTTGTAAAAATGATTAAGCTTGTGAGTTTAAGTCGTCAGAAACCCAATTGATAACGAAATGACACCGAGGTATCAATAATTATCAGCACACCTATCAAATTTAAAGGGTGTCTAATCTATTATGTCTAACTAACTTTTCTTTCATTCTTCTATGATCTGGGGACTGCTAGCGCACAATTTGCTTTTCAAATCATCTCACAAAATAGTCAGCAGAGATCAAATTTTGGAATCAGTATTATCAAGGTAAAGGTCACTGCTTTTCGACGTCAAACATTCAGCGAATTTTTGTTGCCGCAACTGAATTGTTTGATTTGCAGTGTAACATGTTGAGAACAGTAATAAAGTCAAGACATTTTTAACGCATTTCCGAACATTCATATTGAACATTTGAATTCGATATCGATTTCCATCGACTGCTTCGTTTTGTTTAAAAACATATGATCCAAAAAGCCACCAAAATCTTTAATTCATCATTATTTCCCGTGGTTAAAATTGTACTAAGCTTAGCTTAGCTTTCCACAACATGTTTAACCGCTACAATCGCTTAATAAATACTGAATTAAAAGACGGCGCACTCTTCATTATATTACAATGGTGCAGTGAGAGCGAAGGAACTTTGGAATTGAAGGCTTGTTTTATCATTATTGGCCTGCTTAGCACGCAAGCTCTCGATCGTAGACATTTGCAAAGTAAAAGCAAAGCTTTGTTAGCTTAAAGCAGAGAAAATTATTGAAAGTGCTTTTGAAGAAGAAGACTAATTTCTTTTCCAAAATCGTTATCTGATTGTCGTCTATTCTGCATTTTGCTTATTTTATAATACTGATTAACACAAGAGAGCAAAGTGTATACTAAGTATGTGCAGCGAGTGATAGCCCTATAAAAGTAAATGAATGTGTAGCTACATATATATGTAAATATTTTAAATAATTATTCGCTAAATAAAAAGTTTGGTTGATTGGACAAATTGAGTTCTGTGGAAATGAATGCGAATGCATAAAACTAGTTCAGCTGCAGCGGTGCTTGTGTTGAGTTCAAAAAATTCGAATTCCCAAATGTTTTACGCGAAAATAAATTGTGTTGCGCTCAGCGAATGCGCTGGCCTCGCAAAGAACTTTGCGGCGATTAGTAAGCGTTTGCTAGCAACAAAACAGGTGGATAAAATTAACAAATATATTATTTACATTTTTTCGAATAAAATTATTGTTTACGTATATATGAACTCGCGTTTGTCTGATAGGCTGAAATGAGATATTTCCGTGAGGGAAACCAATATAATTTAATACATTTGATCTATAGTTCAACGTTCAAAAAATACGTGCATATATCTCACCGCATTCACGTAATGACTTCGTGACATATAGCGTTTCAAGTGCCACAAGTTTTGCTTTTTTGGAAACAAAAGGAGTTTCTGTGTTAATAAAATATTGGTGGAAAATATGTCACCGGTTTGAAATATTGGTTTGATGAGTGTTGTCAGTGATCTCTGCTAGGCGTAGCAACGGTTCCAATAAATGTTTAAAGAAGCAATTTTTCGTACATCAAGAACAATGCTAGCTACAAGGCAAAGCTGGATCTGTCAATAAGATTCCTATATGGGCTTTAACATAGTATTCAGTTAAGACTCTCTCCTACTTAATACTACGACGGAATCAGGACGTTAGGATGTTTAAGTTACATGAAGAGATAACGGATTAAATAAATAGGCCTGCTAGGCAAATATATCATATAACTTGAATTTGAATTAAAAGAGTTTAAAAATTATATATGCTTTTAAAATATCATTTTTAAGAATGACTCGCTCATAAGAAGTAAAATTCTTTACTGAATATTTATCGTCACTAAGAAATGTGTACCTTAACCAAAAAATGGAAGCAAACTAATAATACAGACTATGCCAACAGGTCGAGCAGCCGGTTTGCCCGGCACAACCAACCGTCAGCTTAGAACAGTCTACAGTTGCAACCCTGGAGTGGCAACGAGCACGTCCATATAGCGAATTACCTAAAGATAGCGTTTTCAGACTGTTAACTAAATTTTTACCTGGCGGCCGTTATTATAACTTAGACTCCAATGCACTAGAAATGGCAATGAAAAAGGATCATGGTGATATTTTTGTAGTGCCCGCTTTTATGGGTCGACCCAATACCGTGGTGTTACACAATCCAGAAGATTTCGCACGCGTGTTTCGTAATGAGGGCGTGTCGCCAATAAGACCGTTTGCAACATTACGTTATCATCGAAGTAAATTGCAAGCCGATTTCTTTCAGCAGATCGAGGGTGTGCTAACAACGTGAGTTCGTAATTAATTTGCTTGAAATCTAGTTGAAACACTAATTGTTGTTTTATATTACCGAAGGCAAGGTGAACGTTGGAGCACATTCCGTTCAGCCGTTAATCCACTTCTTATGCAGCCCAAGAATGTACAAATGTATCTCGGCAAAATGGCGCAAGTGAACCAGGAATTTGTCGAAAGGTAGGCTTGTAATATCATTATACACTTGAAAATGTTTAGTATTATAATTTCTTCTTTTATCTTTTACAGAATCCGTTCAATACGCGATCGTGACACTCAAGAGGTGCCAAACAACTTTGAAGATTATCTGCAGTGTTGGCTGCTGGAGTCTCTCTCCATTGTCACACTAGGGAAACAGCTCGGTTTGCTGCGTGATCACAGTGAAAATTACGAGGATGCGCTGAAATTATTTACTGCTTTAAACACCATATTTACAGTCGCCTTTGACTTAGAGTGGAAACCCTCATTGTGGCGTCGTGTGCGCACACCGAAATTCAGACGTTTTTTGCAGGCGGCAGACAACATGCAAGCGATAACACTGAAATATATAGACGAAGCAATAACCAATCTGGAAGCTGAAAAGAAAATGGGTATCGTGAGGCTGGAGAATGAGATGAGCGCATTTGAGAGATTGTTGAAGATCGACAAGAAAATAGCGACGGTGATGTGCATAGATCTGTTTCTCGCCGGTATTAATACGGTAAATATTTAGCGCCATCGTTCCAGCAGCACTTTCCAGAAATTTTACAATTTTTATCTCACTAATTTATTTTGTAGACCACCTCAATGGCGACAGCGGTTTTACTTTGTCTGGCGAAAAACCCAGAAAAACAACAAATTTTACGCAAAGAAGTGATGCATGTGTTGCCACAAAAAGACGGCAATTTCACAGCCGATGCACTCAATCGTATACCCTATTTGCGTGCCTGCATCAAAGAAGCCATTCGTATTTATCCTCTGACTGTCGGCATCGTACGCGTGACACAAAGTGATCTGGTACTAAGTGGATATAGAATACCTAAAGGCACTGTGGTGAATATGGTATCAACATCGTTATTCACGAATGAAAGCTTCTTTGCACGCCCAAACGACTATTTACCCGAACGTTGGCTACGCTCGGGTGCAATGGTAGAGGGTAGAGAGCACGAGTCAGCCGTAGCGGGTGCGCAAGCGTTGCGTCCGACTAATCCTTTTGTATATTTACCATTCGGTTTTGGTCCGAGGGTGTGTTTGGGTCGTAGAATAAGTGAGTTAGAAATGGAAGTGGGTATTGCGCGATTGGTGAGAAATTTCCAAATTGAATTCAATCATCCAATCGATAAGCCATTTAAAAGTATGTTTGTTAATATGCCAAATATGCCGTTAAAATTTAAATTTACGGATGTTGAATAAATTCTATAATCAATATTTTGTTAATTCCGGTATATCGAAACATTTTTGTTTAATGTAGCAATGTACATAAAAAGCTGATCATTAAAGCTGGTTGCAAAAAATTCAATAAAAAAAACAATTTTAATCCTACATACCGGATTAAAAAAAAAAATCTTAAGAATTTAAAATGAATTTGATTTTTTTGTTTTAATTCAAATCAAAAAGTAATATTTTAAATTTTTAATTCTAAACATCTTAGATTAAATAATGAAAATTTTATTTTTAATCCCAACATCGGGATTTCTAATCTCAAATTTTTTAAATAAAAAATTCGCAACCCTGATCAAAGAAATAAGTACATCAAAGACTAAAGTTGATTTTTAGCTTAACCGTAAAAGTAGATTAAGTGTACTAAACTCGGGAATTATTTTTTTACTTTTTTAAAAATACTGTTGTTTGCTTTTTACAACTAATAATTAAATTTTGTATACAAAAATGGTTTATTGATGAAATAAATATACAAGAAAAATAAAAAATGATGTGTTTTTGCAGGAAGTAATGACTTGGGATAAGTTTATTCAAATCTCACATTTTCTGATTTAAGAAGTTAAAAAATATATTGAAATTATTCCTCTCAGCACTTGACTTGTTTGTAAGCTTTTCTAATAATGTCTCGAATGTGCCAATGAAATAGTGAAATAGTCTGGGAGATTCATCGAAACAGTACACAGATATGTCATCTCAGCAGATAAATTGGAGAGATAAGAACTGAAGCACAGAGACAACTTCATCTTTTAAACAAGTGTATCTAGCTGTAATGATTTTCTTTCCTTTAAATAGTTTTAGATCAAAAAACTATGTTTACTTTAAATGTCAGTAATTTATGAAAAGAGTGTTATCAGAAACATTTCTTAGTTATTCTCGAGCACTTTGTTTATAAAATTTAATTTTTTAGTAAATTTTGTAATTTGTATAGGAATATATAATATTTGTATATAAGTAAGCCCGCTAATCATAATTTTTATTTTTTTTTAGCCTGAACAGGGTATATTAAGATGCCACGAAGTTTGTAAAGCTAAAAGGAAACGTCGGAAACCCTATAAAGTATATATAATATTTATAAATGGTCATCGTGAAGAAGTTCGTCGATTTAGTCATGTTCGTTTTTCTGTCTGTATTTACGCGATTTTGAAATATCGATCTGCTAAAGAAGCTACTCATTTGTCGGAATTGACAATATGGTACCACTATAGCATATAGCTGCCATACAAACTGGCTGATAAAAATCAAGTTCTTGTATGGAAAACTCTTTTATTTGACAATATATCTTCACGAAATTTAGCATAGATTTATATTCTATGGCAACATTACTATCTTGTTCAGTTTGATTGATCAAAATTAAGATAAATTTCTTCATAAAAGATTTTTTTCTTTTTTAATTCTTTAAAAAAATTCATTAAACTTGATTATTATTTATGACAAACAACGTGGCTAATTGGCTATATTTTCTAAATTAAGCCAAAGAAATAAACCCGAAAACTTGGAATCACTTCGCATATCCTCAAGCATGGATGGGATTATTATAAATCAGCTGTCAAAATTCAAGACAAAATCTTTATAGAGTCGATTGGGTACTTACAGGCAGACTTGGTTTGGTTTCGCACGAATTTAGAATACTCCTTACTTTTTGTACTTATATATTTACATACGCAAGTAACTCTCTTTAACATATGAATGATATTTTCACGTAAACAGAACCATGCTGTTAAGTTTTTTATTAAAACAAAAAAGATTTAAGAAGATTTGAGTTTTTTATAGTAATCAAATCGAAATATAATTTTAGTCTGCCTGAAACTGTGGTAATGTGTAGTCCATAAGAGCAGGTAATCGCAAAATGTGTGCTTACAATCTGTCTCGTGTATCGCTCGGCAAAAACGTTATTATCGCCAACACAAGGTGTTGGTTGAATACAAAAAATGTGAGTATCAAGAGCCAAGAAAAGCAAGAAGAAATATGTAAGCCGAAATCTTATGCTTATATTTAAATCTTTGACTGAAAAAAAAATTATTTGCGTGGTTGAATAAACCTTGCGTTCAAAATTAATGCACATGCATTGCAAAGTATTTAACACGTGCCGTCTCATTATCACAATAGCACGCACACAAATGCACCGCCGCCTCCACTGCAGGCGCAGCCACACACATACACTCAAACAAATCAGCTGATGCGGCCTCGGAGTGGCAGCAAGCACGTCCATTCTCTGAGTTGCCCAGGGAAGGCGTTTTTAAATTTTTGCGGCAATTGCTGCCCGGTGGCCGATATTATAAATTAGATTCCGCACAATTATTGAAGGCAATGCAAAGGGATTATGGCGATATTTATATAATGCCTGGCATGTTTGGTCGACCTGATGCCTTATATACACATAATCCAGCTGACTTTGAGCGTGTCTTTCGCAATGAGGGGGTCTGGCCGATAAGACCCAATTCGGTAACTTTGCGTTATCATCGCAACAAACTGCGCGCTGATTTCTATGGGGACGTCGAGGGAATACTTGCAACGTAATTATGGAACATTTAACTAGAAAGAGCAAAATTTCGGGAGTTGAGGTGAAAAGTGAAGTCGGGAAAAAAATATAGAAAGTAATAAAGTAATTACAATAAAATAGTCAGGTAAAAGAAGAAAAACAAAAGGCTTAAAAATAACACCACCAAAACCGTAGATTTCGACTGACGAGAAATAAAATTGCATTATCGTACTAATGTGGGAACTTTTATAGCACTTCTCCATCTAAACAATTATTTTTTAATAATTTTTCTCTTAAGAAATACCACAGTAGTCCCGGACAAAACACGTTAAAATCCTTCAGGGGTACTTCTTTTTCGAAAATTGAATTTTCTGACGCCCAACCCGCATGTTAAGTCACTACAGAACCTATTGTTTATGGGTTTTATCGGTACAGTATAAAAATTATCAATTTATGGTCGCTATAGGCCAATAATCTTTACAACATTTTTTAAAACTTTTTTGAGCAATTTAAGTGAGTAAATTATTCTCATCAACGAAATCAGCCTTGTAGACGTTTACTTGAAGCAGAATATGTGTAGAATCTTTCTAACCCTATATCTTGTCTTCAAACAGCCATGGTGAGCAATGGAGCACATTTCGAACGGTCGTTAATCCATTGCTAATGCAGCCGAAGAATATTAAAATATATCTCAACAAAATGGCACAGGTGAACCACGAATTCGTAGAAAGGTAATAAGGTAAAAAGTACTTTCGAAGCTCATTCGAAATTACAATTATTTTAACTAACCTAGAATCCGTTTGATACGTGATATCAAAACTTTGGAAATGCCCGATGACTTTAAAGAATACATACAGCGTTGGACATTGGAATCGGTAGCTCTTGTGGCGCTGGACAAGCAACTCGGTTTGCTGCGTGATGATAGCGAAAATTTCGCTGATGCTTCCAAACTTTTTGCAGCCTTAACGGAATGGATGTATCTTACACTGGATTTAGAATACACACCATCGCTGTGGCGTATTGTGGCAACCCCGAAGTTTAAACGCTTGATGCAAGCGTTGGATGACATACAAGATATAACATCGAAGTATACCATAGAGGCAATTGCTAAGCTAGAAGCGGAGCAACAACTGGGCATCGAGCATGAGGAGAATGAAAAGAGCATTTTGGAGAAATTGCTGAGAATTGATAGGAAAATTGCTACAGTGATGGCCATGGATCTATTGCTAGGCGGTGTCGATACAGTAAATTTGAAAATAATCGAAGACTTATATATGTATATTTTTATTTCCATATTGTAGACAACTTCACTCACCGTTGGAATTCTACTTTGTTTGGCCAAGAACCCCGACAAACAGGAAAAACTACGTGAGGAAGTAAAGCGTATACTACCAGAAAAGAATGGAGATTTCGCGGCTGATACACTCAGCCAGATACCATATCTACGAGCATGCTTGAAGGAAGCATTACGCATGTACCCAGTGACTATTGGAAATAGTCGTGTGCCGCAGAAAGACGTTGTTTTGAGCGGTTATAGAGTACCTAAGGGCACCGTGATTAGCATGATTTATTCAACGCTACTAAAAAGTGAAGAACATTACGCGCGTCCATTGGAATTCCTACCGGAACGTTGGCTGCGACCAAATAATGAAACAGTTGAAGAACCGGGATGCGCAGCAATTGAAGATACTAAACAATTGAAAGCCAGTAGCCCCTTTACGTTTCTGCCTTTTGGTGTCGGTCCGAGAGCTTGTTTGGGTCGTAGAATTAGTGATTTGGAAATAGAATTGGGTATTGCCAGATTGGTGCGAAATTTTCAAATTGAATTTCATTATGCGACAGATAATGTATTCAAGAATATGTTGATTAATATGCCAAATGCGCCATTAAAATTTAAATTCATTGATATTGAGTAAAGGTGATGGAGAGGTGGTGAATTATAAACCACTTACAGAATTTTTTATTTATTAAAAATTAAGTGAAAAAATATAATTTAAATAATAACAAATTTTAACTTCGGTTAACATACAAGAAACGGTTCCGACAAATGAGCAGCTTCTTGAGGAGCAAAGAATGTGTACAAAATTTCAGATCGATATCTTAAAAACTAAGGAACTAGTTCAAGTGTGCTAACTTAATATACCCTGTTCAGTATAAATAGTCATTAAATAAAGAACAATATATATATCCGGCATTTTTTATGAAATATGAGATCGCATTTTGAAATTTAAACGAACGGTAAATGCAAAATTGCGAAGAATAAAATATTGGAGTGTATAACTAACTTTTTCTACAACAACTTCCTTGTTCTTAGCCATTTAAGTTTTCAAAGGATATCCGATAGTGATTTTTCTTATTCTGAAATGCTTGCAATAAACACGTTTTAAATAATGCAACTAAAGAAACCATGAAATCTACGAAGGCGAGTAACATACTTCGAACAAAATAAAATGAAGCTCTAAGCTTTATTGAGTACATAGTTCAAAGGGAAAGCTTTGATTCATGAGAAGATCTGGCATAGTTCAATTAAACGCTATTTTGAGAATATTCTACGACTCTACAATAAAATTAGTATATATAAAGAGAGTAGCGTATCTTCATTTAATATCAGTCATCTGTAAACCATTCAAAATTTGTAACATCCTCTATTTTTCGCCAAACAACAAGTCGCACACTAATAGGAGAAAACACCTAACCTAGCATACACAAAAGTCTTAACGATATATGGACATGACAGTTAAAGAAAAACATTTGGGTAGATGGATCGAAAAACAGACCGTTATTTGAACTGTCGTTTCCGTGCACATAATTTTTACCATGCATAAGTTCCTCCCAGTTTTGGTTGGCTCTCCCGAAATTATAAAATATCTTATTCCTCTTTCCAAAGTTAAACAATTGCAATGTCGCTGGTTACACCAAAATTTCTTCAGCGTCAATGAACCGCCTTTTGAGATTAAATTTCTATATATAAAATATATAAATATTTCTTAAATTTTTTTAATAACACTCGTATGCACATTAGACTGAAATGCGATGTATGGTGAGAAAAAGTTGGTAGTTCACCTGTAGGGTTTAGAATTTGCTCTGTAAAATCGTATTTTTATTATGATCCCGCGTTTTAAACTTTGATGAAATACGATTTTTAAACTGCTTTTTAGATACGGTCTAATATATGTACTCGTATGTACATAACAAAACTATAAATTATTTGAATAAATTATTAATTTAACTAAAAGTCAGCACTTCTTTTTCATTTAACATTGTATTGAAATCAGTAAACACTTAACATTTATTTAAAGCTCGTTTAAATCTTTATTTACTTCATATATTATTTGTCATTTTATATGCTACGCTTTACAACAAATTTACTTATACGCATCTAATTACATTTGCTATTATTCATTTTATGAGTTTTCCCCCCCACTTACATACAGTTACACACATAGTTTTACACACATACAACGTTTTGTGTACATTTTAACAAACAATGCCGTTACAATTTAATTACATTTTTGTTGGTGTATTTTGTGTATAATTCGAATTTTTTTCTTACAATGATTATGTGTACATACATATACATACATATGTATATACTTAAGTACATATATGTATAGTAAGTCAATTTTTACAGTAAAGCTAAAGTGTTAATTCCTTTTAATTACGATTTTTCCATAATTTTAGAGCAATTCCAAGTGTTACGCTTTAAAGGGCTTTGATATTACTTGCTTTTGCAATGGTTACTTCCAATAAGAAACGTATAAATTATGATAAACGATAGTGCTTTCGAAGCCCGTATGCAGCAACAAATATTTGTTAATTTTTATTTCTTAAAGTTTGCTTTGCAATTTTGATATGAAGTACTCGTATAAATACATATAAATACATTTATGAATGCATTAGTATAAAAGCAGCGAGGAATTGTTCATAGCACGAACGCTTATAACGGCAGTAAAGAATTAAGCAAAATAATAACTATGAATCCATAAATGCTTCTGCATAAATACAGTTCAAATACATTTCTACTTTGCTCAAAATTACAAGTTTTGTAATGCACAAAATATGAATACGAATTAATTAAAAATTGTAGCTGAAAACCGTTTTGTGAACTTTATACGAATTAAAAAAAAAGAAAAGTTTAAAAGTTTATATACTACGAAGCATTCTCTGCATACAATATTTAAAAGCAACAGTCTGGCATCACTATTAAGGTAGAGTTTATTTATTTATGCGTTATGTTTAAGCAACTCTGTTATGAAAATCGAAAATGTGGAAACACACAAGAATAGCCAAAAATATTTGGTACACCATTAATTAAATAAATAAATAAATAAAAATAGTTTACTTTTTAAGAAATAAGTGCGAAAATCCCGATATGGTACGAAGTCTCAATTTTGACCTCACACGTACACTTATGGCTGATATGCTTTTGTATGAATAAATTCATATATTTTTTTCGAGGCGAAGCAAAGCAAATCGAAGCACAATGCTGGGCAACTCTCATCTTGTTGTGATTTGACAATCAGCTGTCGCTATTTTTATTACTTTTTTTTTCTATTTTATTTTTTAATAGATTGGATCGCGGTTTATTTTACTTTATTTTTCCAAAAAAACACGAAATTTTAAATAACAGAGAGAAACACCGAAAGCACAGCATGCATTCTGACATACCCTATGTTTGCTTCGCTTCGATGTCAAATTAAGAACTGTCATGCAAATCGAGGAAAGTTATATGTTAATCGGCCATTACGCTCTATCATATGTAGTAGATCGTTACCAATTTAGCAACTACGAATTCTTCCACTAATAGTATTCTTGTTTGCCATCATAAAATAACAACTTTAATATTTTTTGCGATTTTATGATATTTATAGCAGCTGGGTTTTGAATTTTATATACATTATATATTACGTTACGTTACGTTACATCAATGCATATTTTTTCTTTCATTTTTAACATTTATAGAAATTTTTTACAAAGTTTTCTAAAGGCTTTTAGTATACTTTGTACAAAGAAGACCAAAAAAAAAATAATAATAATAATGAAATACCTAATGTTTTGACCACGACTGTATCTTCCGAGATTGAAATTGAACACTACCAGACTGTACTTAAAAAAAAAAAACTTAATGCAGTTTAAAATAATATTTTTAATATCAGCAAAAGTAATAATGCAAAAGCCTTTTACATACCTACAAACATGAAACAGTTAATCGCTCTATATATAAATCCGTATTTAGTACAATAAATATAATTACACTGATCTGTTACAGTTTTGATCTTCTTTTTCTACGTTTATAAGTGTAAATATTGTATGATCGTTTTATCAGTTTTTTGTGTGTCGCGATATAAATTCAACTGGGTTTTTGAAGTAAAGACAAACAAGTGCGAATATCAGAATAGCACAGTAGACGACTACGCGGAAACAAAAGGAACACATGAAAGTTTTAGTTCTCCTTTAAAATTTGTAGTCTAAGCTTTTTATAGGAAGCCAATACTCAGACAGTAAAGCTGGCGATTCGGAACGAGATATCCAAAGAAGTCGAAGGCAGAAACGAAGACGACTAAGAGACGTAGTAACAAGACTCCAAGGAGTGGAAAAAGTAGTAAAGCTTTTACATATGGATCTTAGAATCCCTCAAGCATATTATTATGCAACACACTGTGTTTTTGGGGAAGTTATCTCACAGGGAAATGAGCAATGTAGCAGTCAATTCAAGATATTTTCTTAGACCCCATGAGCTAATATCCGATTTAGAGATCTGAAGAATTCTAATAATCTGTGGTATTGCAAATAATATTTTACTGAGCTTTTATGAGATAAGTAAGATAAGTAAAAACCAAAAAAGATACAAGAAATGGTACATACTCGCTCTGTTTTCTATGCCGTAATTTTGTGGACAAAATATTCGAAAATTTTTAGACAACCAAAAATACTAATGTACAATATACCGTGTATGGTTATAAGAGGTATTTTAGGGCGTCAGATATGGGTTGTATATTATATATGTATACTACAGATGTGTGTAAAAAATATGAAAGTTACTTTTAATCGTATATTGTTTCTCTGTTGCATTCTTATTGTATAAAAACTATATATGTACGAGTACTTTAATATTTCTTATGTTATTTTTATAAACTAATTGTGATATAACCTTCATCCGATGCTATTGCCTCTGTTGCTTTTCCAATAACTTTCCCCCACTTTTTATATGTATATATATATATATATAGATTATCACTTATAGCGATGTAGTACACACACATTTACCTTAAATTAATATTTACGGCCGACGCCTGGTCCTGGATTCAATAGACGACAAAAATGTGGTGTTGTCACGCGACAGTCGACCTGCATGTGACGTCTTTGCCGCACCGACTGTGGTCATTGTCGATTCGTTGATGCTCCGTTTATGTATTCACTGTGCCTTTTCACCTGCGAATAAAAGAAATATGCACATAGTAAACCGTTATATTAAATATAGAAAGATAACCCTAGTTGCGTGGTAAAGTAAAACAAATCTTAAAGATGTATAGAATATATGTATTTACTCTTTCTAAAATGTAGTGTATATATAATAAGTTAAGGAATGACTTAAGCGTCTACTTTGAATATTAAATACTACTGCACATTGAAGAATTATGAAAGATGTTATATGTATATCTGCAAACTTTATTCTATATACTTATATAGGCAAGTCTACGATTTTCAAATAATCGAAAAAAGTAAATAATAATCTTTTTATACACTCAAAGTGTAAGTCACGTTTAATAAAGCCTGAAAGAGAGAAATTCTATCATTTTTTTCAAATTCGCAGAATAAATTCTCAAAGTTGTGTCTCTGGTGAAGGCTCTATAATCGACTAACCCCTTAAATAAACTCTGCCCAATTTATTGATTTCTCTAACATAACTTCGAAGAAATTAGTTCGTCCTAATGTAAGAATAACATATGTTATCAAAGCTTAAAGTTTGGCAATATTCAATGAGGTGGCGCTAGCATTTTCGACAAAGGTCATATAGCTAAGTGAAGTAAATGACAGCGGTTACCAGAACTAGAACACTTCGTTCGAAAGAACTTTGCATTTAAAAGACACTTTGCATTTAAAAGAATTTATTGCGGCTTCGCTAAGACCTTTACAGAACCTATAAACAAGAAGCAACGTTAACTACGGCTGCACCAAAGCGATAACAGTCTATACAGGTCCATTTCTTAGATTTTGATCGGTCAGTTTGTATGACAGCTTTTATGCTTTAGTGGTGCGACAACGGCGATTTCGACAAATGAGCAATTTCTTGAGGATAAGAGAACGTCTCCAAAATTACTAGTTCGCGGTAGACACGGACTACAAACAGACGGATGGCTAAAACACAGTTTTTTTAAATTTTTGGAATTTGGCGTGCAACTCAAAATTTGGTTTAAAACTGTGAGGAGTACGCTTATCGTCCTATATTGGTTACCATCCGAGTTTACCAATCTTTTCGACTTGATATGCATTGCCGGCATAGAGTTTAAAAACTAGTTTAATTTACATAGTTTCAATTTAAATAAAGACATATTATGAGAGAAAATTTTCTTTTACACTAGTTAAGAATCAGCTATCGTTATATATATAATCGTTGTATTATTACAACAGAATTACAACTCTCCCGCTTAAGTGACGATTTAACTTCCCTTCTATATAATGCTAAAAATCAAAAAATTTTAAACTGTTGTGGAAAAATTAACTAATGATTTGTAATGCTCTAATAATATTTATTAAGCAATAAAGAAAATTTACAAATTTTTCAGCGAGGATAGTGGATTGACCAATTCCTCTTTGTAGTAACTACAAAATACTGATTTTTTTCGATCCAAATATCAATTTCGCTTTTTAACACAATTTTTCGATTTTTTATTTGGACGTCGTAAACGACGTTCAAAAAATAACTGTTCCTGCATTTCATCAATCACTTGCTGTCCAAAACTAGCAGTGGGTGTGTCCGTTGAATATGGGCGAAATGGTGCAGATGAATAGAAATAGTCAAAATCGTCCCAATCGCTATCGCTATCATCCGTGTCGCTATCACTCTCGCTTTCTTCCTCCTCCTCATCGATGCGATCCTGAAAAGCAATTATTGCGGCTAATATAGACAGACGTTGTAGTGCGGTTAATCGTATAAGTTGTGGCACAGCTAACGCGTCTGTTGTTAGAGCTGACAAATTAGTCTCTGCCATACCTCCAACGGCGTTGGATTTCTTTTCGTTTTCGGTCTTCTTAATGATTCCAGGCATTCTGAATATATTTTTTAAGACGAGTATTGCAACGTGTTACTTCTGTGCTGATATTGAGTGAATGTGCCGAAATGCAAATTTTCTCGACTTTATATCGTTGTCTGCCGAACAGTTGCAGTAGCAGGTAGCCTTAAGCTTTGCTAATCATTTGGGTTGATTCTAAATATCGAGCAGTTCAGAAGGACAATTAGTACGTAGGCGTGGACAGGTAAGAGGATAAACCTTTATTGTATTACTCTTCACTCTCCCCGAGAATATATTTTAACTCCTTAAAACAATAACTTATAACAAAGGATTGTTTACTGGTAAAAAGTTTAACTTACTAAGTAATGTTTTCCATGTTTTGACGTTTTTACCGTAAAAAAGGTTTTATTTGAAAATTGTTACAGAAGCTCTTATCAACAATACACCGTAACAGCAAGTTATAATAGAACACGAACAGAACAACAGAAAAAAATGTATTAGTATATATTCGAAATTGTTTTGCTTCCGTAATATTGTTTATTATTGCTGCGGATAACCAACAATAGCATAATAATTTATTCTACAGAACTTCTTTTCTTCGATTGAAATCTTTAACAAGAGTCTATTAAGATTCTTCTAAAGTATTTGGATATAAATGAATATCTCATATACCAGAATAAATCCCACCAGAAGATGAGAGATGTCTCCATATTGACGGATAAACAGGCGGTCATTAGAAAATTTGCACAAACAGCGACAGAACAGAGATTTTTGGTGGAGCCAGCAAAAAACGATCGTTGCGAAACACAGTAAATATTAATGGTCCGAAAAATTACAAAGGCAAGAATATTGGCTAAAAAAAACACTGCAAAATGGAGATATTTCCAATAAACTAGACATCAGATTGCTCGTCGATAATACGGTTGATCATAGTTACCTTATCAGACATCATATTCATCGACTTGACAAGGTAAACTATATTAGGTTTACTTTATACGTAAAAATGTTTGAACTTCGGCATCTATTTATTAAATTACTAATATCATCTAGAGTGTTCCAAGTTCAAAAAAATTTCTTTTAAGGTCTTTTAGAGTGCTTCTCATTAATCGTAATGTATAATATAATGACAATAATAGAGTAGACTTAATTTACATAAGTCGGTTGTCACTATGTAATACTACAATACTTTTTACCTTCAATTATTATCTTGTTAATTCTTATAATCCCAACATATTTTGCAACCGCAATAAACACAAAAAATTATCAGTTAACTTAAAATGACATGAATATTACTTAGCGTTATTAACCTCTCCTTTCAATGAAGAGTACAATAGTAATGAAATAAAATATAAATGAGGTATAAAAAAAAATGTTTCGTGAAAAGGAAACAGTCAATTAGTATTTAGTAATTGAATATGGCTATGTAAGTAAATAAATTAACTGGTGAATAGTACTTACGAGATCGGCAACAATCGGCTCCTCAATTTCGAGTCCTTGCAGCGCTTGCTCTCTGCTCAGATGCACTTCGTACGACATGGTTGGCGAAACGAAAACGACGCGATGTTTACGTGTTTGTAGAATATTCGCAATAACCATCTGCGTGGTGGGAGAAAAATACACGAAGAATATAGAAAAAAGTATAAATGCAAAGAAGTGAAAAACGACGCCTAAGTGGCTAAGTGTACTTATTTAATTTTATATACAAATGAATATACATACATATTTTGTAAGAGCTCAGTCGGTTGTTTTAGGGCATTATTGTAGGAAAATTCAGCATAAGGGTGTGTCAAATAATAGTTGTATATGCTACATACGCATTATTTTGGTTTATTTAGTATTATATTCATATAGTTCAGATTGAGGTTTTGAGGCATTATCGTAAAAATAAGTGGACCTTAGGGTGTGTTAATTTGCAACAATGAAAATAACATTTCAGTTAATGTGCGGTTTATTTTGGACTATATCTGGAGAAATTACTTAAAAAAAATATATATATATATTTGCGTATTGTCTGTTCATTGACTTAAATAAAGTATTTGTGTATTTTGTGTCCCTTAGATATTAAGGTGCGTCAGTTCGCAACAATAATTGTTTACGCAGAATTGCGCATTAGAATATGTTAATAGGTAAACAAAAAATAATGCGTATTGTTCAAATCGCTGGGCATTAGGGCATGCAAGTTCGTTAGAAAACAATAATTGTACGAAAAATTGAACATTAGGGCGTGCCATTTGTAAAAAAAAAATTGCATATTATTTTCTGTCCATTAAGGATTAGGGTGTGCCATATTGTAACAAAAAAATAATAATAATAACTACGTAATCTTCCATAATAGGATATGTCACTTTACAAACAAAATTATCTGAATAAATATATTAATTCAGTTAATGAAGCTCATATATTTTACAACCATTTGGCACTTTCAGTTAATGTGCTAACAAGAGAGTATTACTTTCGAAGATAAAATCGAAAAATATTTTTAACCACCCTAATATCTATATTTACATGGTAACATGTGTGTAGCACGAAAGCAAAATAAAATGCTAAAAACTATATACATCCATATGCACATTCCTGTATTTGAAACCATGCCACAGGGTTTTGCGTAGCACACGTGATTGTGATAGTTTCAAAACAAAAAAAAAAAAAAAAGAAGGAAAGAGTAGAATGTAGGTATGTATGCTGTGAAAAAATATTAATTCCCATACACACACATTTAGACAAAATGAAGGTCAGCAATGCAAAACAGGTAAACTGTAAAAAATAACTTTGCGTGCTTGTATGCACTGGTATGTGTGTGTGTGTAAGTGAGTAAATAAAGGTGCATTGAGATGTATGGCATTGAAAACGCGCTAAAACTGTGTGACAATTTCGAAATAAAAACATTTGGTATGCTTTTCAAAGGCAAATAAATTGTTGGCGTGTACGAGACTTAACCTTAGAAATTGTCATAAACTAAACTGATATATTAATTTTCCACGATTTTTCTGTACTCGCTACACAATTAAGTCATTGTCTATAACAAGAAGAGTTCATGGTGAATAATACATGGTTGGAAACAATATGTTCAGCATTTATGTTTGCTAAAAGAAGGGTGGTTCAGCCCCGACCAAAACATGATTATTGAATTGGTTATCCGCTAATTACAGGAAACATAGTTATCTCCCCACAAATAGCTAAACAATTTCAACATTAATGTTTAGCTGTCACGCCTTAGAGACTGGCATGTTTGGTGAAGCAGCATTTCCATGGAATTTTATGATAGAGGAGAGGCATAAGAGCGTTGACAAATTGGCTTTTTGCAAGCGGCCACACTCAAACTAGCTAGTAGGTCGAACGCACACCTTAGATAATCAACTAAGCGTCATATGATATTTCGTTGTTGCAGCATCATAAAATATAACGGAAATAATTTTTTTCTGCTGACGTTACAAACCTTGCTGTGATATAACTCTGGGTATACCAGCAGACTGCTAACTTCGTACGGATATGTTTTGTAGTTAGACATAACCTTCAAAACACACGTGTAGAAATTTCACTACTGTCGGAGTATTGATCGGTGAGATACATCATCTTGAGAGGCGCAAGTTTTGGTATTTTAAGTGGTTCGCTAAATTCTGTATGAAATATGAGGTCCAAAGATGGTGAACGGTGAACGAAAACATAAAAAAATCCAAAAATGATTTTGAATGACCAAAACATGCGGTTAATCGATATATGTAGCTGAAAATCTAGAGATATCAAATAGACGTATTGGATATTTGGGTATGCAAAAGTTTTGAATAAAGAGTGTGCCACATAATCTCTGAATCGAACCTCAACTCTCGCTGGAAAAATCTTTAGCGGCACTGAAGACGTGATTATATAGAGGGAGACCTATTGTGAAGCAAAAGACCACCCTACTAATATTCTTATCGGAGTTGGGAGTAGGAGCGCCTATGTTGAATAATTAAAACAAGTTTTTCAACATGACTGATATACGTATATATATGTATAAATACTCATTGACTGAATTATTTGGATATTGTACATCAAACGGTTTTAACATCTACACGCACCGCGGTCTACCCTACAAAGATAAAGTTTTATTGGTAAGTTCATTTCTACTTAATTTTCATTTGACTAAGAAGTTTAGCAACCAAACAGATCATTAACATTCCCCAGATTATGTTCTGTGTGGTGTCAAGGCATATACTCCAAGGTATTAAACAACTTTTGATAACATCAAAGGATTTGAGACGGTCCCCAACTTAGACCTACGGTAGGGAACTCATATCATATTCAAGTCTAGGGACTGCCTTTTTGCATAGTTGGAGAGACTTTAAAGCACTGGTAATAGCGGGTACGACTGTATCTTGTTCCAGACTATTCTATTGAGAAAGGATAAGTTCAATTCTACAAGTTTCTGTTGATATTTTCTCCAGTCTATATATCTTGTACCGGAATGATATGGTATTTTCTCTGCATTAGAATTCGTACTACTTCAGTGGTATAAATTATGCATCGGAAGCTGCTCATTTACTAATCGCTCTCTTATGACTCGTAGAAGCAATCTTAGTTTTTACAAGAAATATGTTCGATCCAAGGAGCAAGATGACCGTTCTTGCTAGAAAATCATTAAAATGCAAAAAATCACGAATGCAAAAAAAAAGCGTTTAAAAACGGAGAGAGTGTATGTGTCCACATACCAAAAATTACTAATCACCAACAACATTACTTACAAGTATATACATATATACAACTATATTCAGTTATGAATAACTATGAGTATTAATAAACCAAATATGCAGCGATCGAAGGCATTTTTGTGCCTTGAAATGTTAGCGTGTCAGTCTGTTGTCATACTGCCGACCACTGTCATTACCAACAGGCCACCGGGCCAACAGAGTTCAGGCTACAAATGCAAATATTGATATTTTAAATTACACAACACGTTTTGTAGTGTTCTTTTCAATTTTTTGTTGTTGGGTTGTTTGGGTGTGTCATCGATGGGTTGAATAGGGTTAATTCATAAAGACACTACAGAAATGCAAATGGCCGAAGTTGAAGGTGCATGTTAGCCGTAAGGTAAACTAAAGCATGCTAACATAAAGGGCAATATTTGGTATATATGTACATATTCATATACTCATAATTGCAGTGCACATGTACTCACCTTATGATTATACTTGAAGAGACTATCGCGCGCCTTGGTAATCAATAAATTCTCGTCTGTTTCCAGCTTGAATGAGACAACAAATGCATGTGGCACCCAGAGACTTGCCAGTGGCGCAAGCATTTTTGGCACCAACTGCAGCGAGATTGTGGGTGCACCTTGACCGGACTGTATTTTGTGAGTAGGCTGCAAAGTAAATCAAAAAAATGCTATATAGTATACACATTGATTAACATGACAAGTGATGAAAAGGATTTGCAGTATACAATATGTATACTAATCTGTACAATAATATTTATGAGAATTAAGAGATGAGTAATGGCAAACTGCATTTATAATTTTATTTATTAAACTGAAGATGTGTAACCATATGGTATATGGGAGTTATAGATGTAATGAGCAAATTTACTGAGATTTTTTCATGCATTCTGTGTTGTTAATTCTGTGATTTGTATGACTGATTAACCGAATAATGTGGAATGATTGATCGATTAAACAAATCTCATAATCGTTTCTTTATGTAACATATTTATATAGTCCATTCTTTTGCCAATAGATGGCTGTAGTAATCTGTACCTTTATGGCAATATAAAGCTTAGTTTTCCTACTAAAAAAATACTCGGAGTGCTCGTCAAAGATGGATACCAACAACGACAAAATGTGCCATATTTTACAGTTTTTCTTGATAAAGGCAAAAACATGGACCAGGCGGCTAAAAATAGGAATAATATTTAAGGTTCAGATACAGTATCAGCCAAATAAATAAGGCTAGATACATAATAAGCGCGATTTATGGGTCTCAAACGGGTTGAAGCAAAAGATTCTCATAGACTGTGGAATTGTTTCAAAATCGATCAATTTCGAAAGCGGATTGTTACTGATGATGGTTAATAATAATAGAGCTCGTCTCAAGAGAAGCTTGTGACAATCGATTGCGGAAATATGCACCGTTTTGTTCGTTAACAAGTTGCAACCTAAATCAGTTCATTCTAACTAAGCTTAGCACTCTAACTGCTAAATAAAATAATGAATTTATTTTTACTAGACCGAATATGTAAAGTTTTTTTATTTCAAAACGTTGAACATTCCATTAGCATTACATAATAGGATTAACATAATTTGCTTACAAAATATCGCCATTTAAAACCTTTGGTAAATATCGTCTTTTTTAAAGTCCTAATGTTTATATTTAATTTTTTTTAAACAGCCTGTAAATTAAAAAACCAAATTTTAGCAACTAATTTTAAAAAACTATTTCTAAATAATTCTAACCAAATCCTTTAAATTGTTCAAAAGTACAATACTTAACATTATTTTTCCAATACCACAGACATTTTTCGGACCCTCATATTGTATTATTTTAAAATAGAAATTACTTTCCCTAATAAATTAATACTTGCTATTATTACTAAATTAAGCATTTAAGCTTTCAAAACTTTCATTTATCTTCATAAAAATATTGCTTTGTAAGGTTACTCATACGCCCTGGTGTCTACACTATTGCATTAGCAATTCGTTTGCATACAAAAGTATTTATAAGAATGTATATGCATATAATAATAATTTTCCACAGGAATCGTATTCCTTCTCACATACATACACATACACACATACATATGTACATATTGACAATGGCATCTGTATTTAAGACATTACAATCAATTGGATGCCATTGTATGCTAATACAAAGAGTCAGTGACATGTCGACAACGTAAATGAAATTTCTCGATGCTTCTGCATATAAAAATCATTGAAATGGAGATTTTAGTAATGAAAACTGTTAGTTTTTTTCATATTTAAGTGAATAGCTATGCAAATGAAATATGAAGGTGGGCGTTAACATTTCATAGCAATGAAAAGAAGTTTTAAAGATTTTCATTCGGATGGTGTGCTTCTAATTTTTTGTAGTAAATAAATTACAAGTTTAAATATAATTTTTAAAGTAAATACTAGAAAAATTATACTTCACTGTTTTATATTACTTTATCGTGTAATAAATTAATATATAAGGTTGGCCGTTATTTCCCTTCCGCTTTTTTGCTCTTCATTCCATGCTTTATAAAAAGTGTTACAGTGATCGGATTTAGTTAAAATATGCGCCGTTTTGTTCGATGATCTGTTTCCATCTGGACGGCAGCTTCATAATACCTTCCTCGTAGAAGCCCCCCTCCTTATTTGCGAAGAATTCGGACAGCCACTTTTCACAAGCCTCTTTTGAGTTCAACTTCACACCACCAAGGGCATTCGCCATGGACAGGAACAGGTGGTAATCACTTGGCGCTACGTCCGGGCTATATGGTGGATGCGATAAAACCTCCCATCCGAGCTCCCGTAGCTTCTGACGAGTCATCAACGAAGTGTGTGGTCTGGCGTTGTCCTGGTGGAACACTACACCCTTCCTGTTGGCCAATTCTGGACGCTTCTGGTCGATCGCCTGCTTCAAGCGGTCCAGTTGTTCGCAGTAGATGGTAGAATTAAGCGTCTGGCCATATGGGAGCAGCTCATAGTGGATGATTCCCTTCCAATCCCACCAAACACACAGCAATACCTTCCTGGCCGTCAATCCCGGCTTGGCCACTGTTCGGGACGATTCACCGGCCTTCGACCACGACCATTTTCGCTTGATATTGTCGTATGTGATCCATTTTTCGTCGCCAGTCACCATCCGCTTCAAGAATGGGACGAGTTCGTTCCGTTTCAGCAGCATATCGCAGGCGTTGATTCGATCCAGAAGGTTTTTTTGCGTCAAATTATGCGGCACCCAAACATCAAACTTTTTTTTGTATCCAGCCTTCTGCAGATGGTTCAAAATGGTTTGGTGACTAACTCCCAACTCCTGGGCGATGTCACGAGATGCCATATGCCGGTCTAACTCGATGTATTCCATGATTTGATCGGTATTTGTCGTCACAGGTCTTCCGCCGGCAGGCTTATCCATGGTGTCGTTTTCACCGGCTCTGAATCGTCGAAACCATTCCTCCGCGGTTTGAAGTGATAGAGTACCATCCCCCAAAACACCATTAATCTCACGGAACGTTTCTCTAGCGGATTTGCCTTTAACGAAGGAAAACTTTAAAATAGCGCGAATTTCGGCGTTAGTGAACTCCATGTTTACACGTCTATAACTGTTGAACGCAATATCCAAACTAATCATGCATAGCGTTGTTTTGTAGGTTATATCAAGACCTTTCAAATTATGTATAGTGTTGCCAGATACGAGCTCTGTAGCGCTTTGTACATAGCCGCGAAATTCAAAAGACAAAAAAGCGGAAGGGAGATACCTTCCAACCTTATATAATAATCTGGTAAATTAATAGTATCTGTTACTGAGTTCATTTACAAGTGTCAACACTTCTGCTTAAATTCTTCCTTCTTAAATGTCATAAATATTCTTAAGTATATAATATTAAAATTTGTATACACCTTTTATTAAAATGGAATAACCCAGAATATAATAAAAACTAACACGCTCAGTTTTTCGAAAAGCTTATATGCATACATATGATTTTTACAATTATTAAAATTCAAATTAATTCAAAAGCAATTACTTCAACTTAGTCTTCATTGCAAATATGAATGAAATATTAAATTGAAATTAATAAAAAATAAACTTTCACATAATTTATGAAAATTAAAATATTTGACCACATAAGAAATTCTTTGAACATAAAAATCGGGTCCAAAACGTTTTTCCATCATTTCTCACTAAATTTATTTTTCTTTCGTACGACCAAAGCGCAAAATATTCTGTGCCTAACAGTACGGGGATCCCATTGTTTTGTCTATAACTGTATATCTCACACAAACGCCGAACTGTAGGCAACGGGCGCTGCTACTTTTTATAAATCAGATTCCGCACGAAAAACAAGTATGAACAATAAATAGACAAACTTTCAATATTTTTCTTTAAAAAAATTCAAATTAAAGAACTTGTGCTATCAGTAATCGTAAATTCCACTTTGTAATATAATTTTCGGTGATGTAAACTGACATTTAATAAGTATTATGATAATATTATTAATACTTTCCGTAACATTAACAACATTTGGAACCAATTTCCATAATTTTTGGTCTTCGAAAGTCATTAGAACTAATACAATTTAACTTTCCTGTTACTAAATTATGAATACTGAAAATGTTATTAAATTGCCCTCTTTTATATATATATTTTTTTTCAACAATTTCAATTGCTTTTGACCCTGTCCGCTAGCGTTAATCAACATAGATGCTATCAAATTGCTTTATTTGAGCTTTAATTAGGCAACGAAAATCACAAAAATATGCACACAACATAATATGTTAAAAAGAATGCAATTTTGAAATTCATTCATAAACGACAGAGCTTCAATGACAAGTGAGCAGCGCAGTTAGCCTTGCTGCCACATAAAATCCTTTCGCTGCTTCGACACGATAGCAAATATATAGTATAGCCATAGGCGCCAAACTTACATACACACACACACATATATATATATACATAACGGAATGTATAGTACAACCTATAAGTAAATAGTAGTGATAAGCAGTTGGTTGACCAGGCGAGGGAGAAGATGCCTGTTTGCGTGGCTGACTGGACTTGTCAGTTAGATGAGTTGTGTATGAGCGGGTATCAAAACAAAATGAGAGGCAATTTTGTGGAATTGCGTGTATTCACGGACAAATATACATATGTTACATACGGAAATACATAGCGCTTCTGAATGTATGTAGTAGATTTTGCAGATAGTGTGTGTCTGAACAGCTTCTAACTAAATGCCAAAGATGCTTTTGAATACTCTAAAATTTTGCTAATAAATCTTTCGAAATTTCGCAATAAACACACACAGAGAATAATCAATCACGCACGAACACATACACAGAAACAACAAGCAAAAATATGAATTATGCACAAATGTGAATAAACTGAATTAACGGTAATTTCAACAAAGCCATTGTCATGACTGCCATTTATTTCGACATTTCAATTATTTGCATTTAATAATTTGACTGAGCTTCGTAGATGATGTGAACAACACACATTTAAATGCGATTTATGCAACGCACACACACATGTACAAATAAGCAGAAATAATAATAAAATACTATATGCGTGCATGTTAGAAAACGGAATTTGAGCTCAGAAAGGCATTTGATGTTAAGCGCGTTTGTATTTTATGCGCCTTAAGCATTTACTAAAGGCATACACA